GATGGCTTGTAGAGCAACACAGAGGCTGTTCCCACCTGGAGCACCTGTGATGACTTGTGGAGCATCCAGAGGCTCTTCCCACCTGGGACACCTGTGATGGCTTGTAGAGCAACACAGAGGCTGTTCCCACCTGGAGCACCTGTGATGACTTGTGGAGCATCCAGAGGCTCTTCCCACCTGGGACACCTGTGATGGCTTGTGGAGCATCCAGAGGCTGTTCCCACTGGTTCTCCAGGTGCAGGCTGGGCAATGACAGGCCTGTGTGTAGGTGTGAGTGTAGGTGGTGGCCAAGCCGTGTTGCACCTGGTGAAGGATCCATAGAGTGGGTGATGGTGCTCTTGTGTGGGGCAAAGCCTGCAGCAGCCACTGTTCTTTTTTGCAGCTTCCCCAGGGCTGCTCAGCCAGCAGCAGGCTGGGTGATGATCCCTGGGGTTCGAGAAGCTGCTGGACCCTGCCAGTCCTGCCACTGGATGTTCAGCCAGGAGGGGAGCAGGGCCTCTTTCTGCTCCAGGAGTTCCCCATAGCCTTGCTCCGTGGGCTTGGGGGTCTCTCCCCATCCAGGGACAGCTTCAGGGAGGTTTGGAGGTAGAGTTGTAGACTTCTGTGCCATGGAAGCACTGGTTCAGCAAGAGAAACTGGAAATTAGACAGGTGTGTATGGACAGACATAGCCTGAAGTGTGAGCAGGGCTGGAGGGGTGGTTATGATCATCAGGGTGCAGAATTCCCGCTGAAAGACAAACTATCCCACTTGTATTACCTCCGGTAGCTGCAGGATCTGCAGGATGGATTGGGATTAGTGTTGTGGTAACAACCTGCTGAGCAGCCCCTGGCTCCTCCAGCCTCTCTAGTGCTGCTGTGAGCCTAGGGAGCCGTGCGTGTCCCCACGCTCTGCTCCTGTGAGGAGACAAGAGTGGCAAAGCCATTAGCTTGGAGCACATTCCTTAATGTGGCATAAGCGGCTAAAGAAGACGTATTTATGCTCCTTCATTTGCAATTGATAATCTCAAGAGTGAGAACTGGTAATAAATTCCCTCACTGGGGCTCCTCTCCCTCCAGCCCCGCCACAGAGGGGAAGAGCAGCTCATTTGCATGAGATAATGAAACTGCAGTGAAATTGTAAAATTGCAAAGCAACTTTGTTTTAATAATGACAGATGCTTCTTAAACACTTCAATTATGTCTCTCTGAGTTGTTATAGCAAGGCCACTGAAAGGGAGAGCAGTATTCCTGAAATACTGGGAATAAATCTCATTCCCTTTCCACAACATCGCCAAGTGGGAAATTTTCCCCTTTGTTCAAACGAAAGCACTTGTCTTTTTCCTGGCTCAGGGCTTGCCTGTTTCAGGTCCTGAGAGGGGACAGGTGAGTGCTGCCAGGCAGGTCACCCTCCCCAGGGTGGGGTGGGCTGTGGGCCCTGGGGTGCTGGGAGCTACATTCCCTCGTGCTGTCCTATGGGAATTGTAAAAATGGTGCCAATTTCCATGGTTCACGACCCTTCAGTGACACAGTATCAGTACCAGCCTCAACTTCCCCGAGCAAAACTGGCTCCTGAGGTGCTGCAGACACTTTGCTATAAAGAAGCAGCAAATGGTGCATCCAACAAAGCACAGGGAGCAAGATAAACACATTAATGGAAAAAAAGCCATTATGTGAGCACACGGCGTGCATGGAGAACAGGGAGAGAGATTCTGGGCAGCAGGGGAGGATGATGAAAATAAGACAACTAGTGCTGAAGGGTAAAAAGCCTGAGAGACAGGAATGCTCTGTGCCTGAAATCTTTCTGCAGCACGTTTTTGTGTTTTCTGCAGCGATTCTCCAACGCTGTGCTTTGCTGTGTGCCCCCTTCCCTCCTCTAATGGTGCCCTTTTCCTTTCTGCTGGGGACTGTGCTCTGGTTCCTCCTGCCTCCCTTTCAAGCCCATGAAAAGAAACCTCTCCAGACCTGCTCCTCCCCTGAGCCCGAGCAGGCTCCGAGGTGTTACCTGTGTCACATCACTTTGCTAATTTACGACAACCATTTCAAGGCACATTATATCCAGAGCCCATATGTCACCTCAGCGCTGCCAAAAGAGTTCTTGTTTACTAAGCTGATGCTTTCAGCGTGCTCAGAGTGTGCTAAGTAGCACCATCGATACTACTTAAAATAAAAGGTGTCAGCACCTTGTCTGCCCCTGCAGATTGCTCAGAGCTCTCAGCTCTGAAATGTCCCCGAGGCTGAGCTGCTCCTGCTCTGCTCCTGACCCATCCCTGCAGCTCTCCCCTGCCCCATCTCCCCACGAGCAGCTCTTGGGGCTGAGACAGGAAGGCAGCTCTTGGTTTGGGGCAGGATGGCACACTTTTAGTGGTTTTAATGCTATTAATGTCTGGGGTTCCCAAGGAAGGCCAGGCCAGGTGTGTGCAGCTGCTGGTGCTGTGCAGCCCTGGCAGAGGAGCAGTCCTGGGGTGTGCAGAGCCCACAAAGGGCTGTCCCTGTCCCCCAGTGCTGCTGCATCCCCGGGATGTTCCCAGCACAGTCCTGAGCTGACAGGGCCCTTCTGCTGATGGACCAGGCTCTGCTCTGCTCCCTTTCCTCACCCCTCTGTGTAGCACAAAGTCTTTCAGTCTTTTGGTGTTTTCTGCTTTGTCTGAGCCAGAGGCTCTGTTCTTTCTAGTTAAAACCATAAACTTAGTGCACAACTCCAGTCCCATGGTTCGGTTTCTGGTGGGAAATATCAGATGCTGAAGTTGCACAGAAATTCTTGACGGGAAATGTCACCAAATTCTTCCAAATGTCACAATCCAGTTTGGATCCAGGCTGTGTCAGGAGGCTCAGGGCAGGTTTCTTTCTGTGCTATTCACCTTTCTGCTGGGCTCCACTTCTCACTGGCATCACCCCCTGGTTCTGCAGGGCCCAGCTGACCCCGTTCCCATTCTGGAAGGGGGAATAAAGGAGGGGGTCTCTGGAGGAGGCTCCACAGCTCCTGGTTGTGCTGCAAGTCACTCCAATTTCTCATCTGTGGAGCTAGAGATGGAGGTGGCATGAGCTGGGATCAACCTGTCATGCTGAGTAAGCTGGGTTGGGATGAGATAATGCCTCTTGTGAAAATCTCAGGAAGATCCTGATGCCAGACAGACAGGAGTGTTATTAAATGGAAAGTTATTATATGCAGGGGCTGCTCCCCATTTCCATGGTTGTTTGGGCCTTGTAAGAGTGATGCAAACACAGTTTTTATACCTTGCAGGGACTGTCCTGCCCAACCCTCTCTGGCAGGCACCAGAGGAGACAATGGATTGCTGCCATCATTCCCAAATTTCCATTAAGGAAATCAAGTGTAATTTACCTGTGAAAACATTCAGGTCCAAACTTGCCTGGGTCCTCCCCGAGTGGCAGAGATTGTGTCTGGTTTGGTTTGGGGAGAAGAAAGGAGTTGGTGCTCACAGAGAGCAAGAGTGCACAGAGGGGTCGTGGTGGCCCATGTCAGCTGCCTGTGAGAGGGCACAGGGATGTATGAGAGCACTGACACCCCGGGTCAGCAGAACACCTGCTCGCAGATGTACAATTACTGCTTTGAAATGGGATTTTGCTGGAAGAGATCCAGGTTAAAAATTATTCTCTGCTGAGCTGAAAATCTGAAATGTCTGAAGGTGCATGGCTGGGACTGGGTGGTGGGAGGGTGGGCAGACACCTCTCACCATTCCCTGATTTTCTCCATATTTTACCCAGAGGGATTAATTGATGCTTCAAGGGAAGGGAACTGCTGTTTTATGAGTGAAATCTGTTGTCTCATTCATTATTCATTGGGAGGTGATTGGCAGCTTCCAGGCGGTGGGTCACAGGCACTAAAGGGTGAGCTGCTGACTGACAAGGTTAATTGCTGCCTGCCGTTAATGCTGATAACGATTTATGTTGACAATTCCTGGTATTCCTGCCGCAGCCGGGGGTTTGTCGTGCGGGGCCAGCCCCGTCCTGCCCCCGCTGTCCCCGCAGCTGGGAGCTCCCATTCCCTCGGCATGTGGGAAGGGATTTTGTTCCCTGAGAAGGTCTCTCATGCTAAGTGATGCAGAAGCAGATTTGCAAAGGCATCCCTTGCTTTTACCTTTCCCCCTTCTTCTTTTTTTGCTGTGTTCTTTGCATATTGATCAGGGTTCAGAGCATTAAAGTGAGGCTGGGCTTGGCTCTGCTGATCCCCCTCAGCACCAGCCTCAAAGCTTTGCCTTTCCGGGGGCTCAACCGAATAGAGATGCGAAAGGTTTTTGAGGGTGACCCTTGAAAATACTTAAAAAATGGGAAGGAGTTGTCTTTATTTCTCAGTGGGTTGTGCCACTGAAGCCCAGAGCCACCCCTGGGGCTATGCCTCCAATTTTGGGGTCTGTTTTATCTCTGTAGAAAGGGCAGAGCTCCGACTGCACTCACTGCTCCCATCCCAGGAACTGCAGAGGTTCCCTCCCTGCCTCGATATAACAAAGCAGAGCCATAAAGATTTAGCTTATTAAACACTGGCCTTTAGGGTGCTCTCAGCTTTTATGGGGCTAATAAGATTTTTGACTTACATGGGAGGGAAGAGGCAAACAGAGCCTTTATGAACCTGGCAGCCTTGTTGGGGCTCCTGCTCCTCTCGGTGATGAAAAGCTGAGGCAGCCTCCAGGCAAACCACGACAGAGAGAGCTCCTGTGGATGGCTCTTCATGGAATATCCAGGTTTAATTACCTGTCTGATATCAAGCTGTGAGGGCAGGGAGAATTGCCCTGGCTGAGCTTTATGGTCTCTTCCCTCCCTCTGGCCAAAAGTGGGACCTTCCCTTCCTCTCCTGAGACCATCACCACTGCCCCAAACCTGCCCAAACCCCCTTGGTGAGCAGCACCAGCAGCATTGCCCAGGTGTTTGGGTCCAGTTGGGAACTGGTTTTACCATCACAGCCTTTATGGGTGATAAAGTTGGGGTGTTGGTAGACAGTGGGAGTTTGGGACAGAATCTGAGCAAGAAGGAAGGGAGATGTTGAGTATAAACAGGCATAAACTTCATTATTTTCTAGAAATTATTTATTTAAAATTTAAAACCATATTACTTCATACAGCAAACTGTGCACTTTGATATATCACAGTGTCTTAAAAAGGAAAATAATCAGAATTTTTTCTTTTTTTTTTTTATTTTTTGGAAATTGTATTTACATCAGCCTAGAATGATCAGCAAGTAACACAGTTACTATGAAACCAAAATTGTTACAAAATGTTTACAAAAAACTATATTCATAGAAATTCTGCATGTCCACAAAGGAAAATCCCCTGAATGTCACGGAGACTATTTTTTCCTTTTTTTTCCCACTCTTTTTCTGTTTATTTTTTTTTCTTTTCTTTTTTTTCTTTTTTTTTTGAGAAACATGTCAAAGTAAGGTACAGAGCAGAGGGCTCATGATGCCAATGGGAATAACCCGTGCCCTGCCAGCCCCGAGCACTCTGGGGACTGTTGCACCCCACGGTCACTGGGTGGACATGGGTGAAGCCACCAGGAGCCACGATGTCCCTTTGCTGTGACCTTCCTGGAGAGCCTCTGTGCTGGCACCCAGCCCAGTCCTGCTGCCAGCACCGAGGTGGAGCAGTGGGTGCCCAGAGCTGGTTGCCCTTTGCATCTTCCATCTCTCTGTGGGTCTGTGCCCTCGACACCAGACCTGACACGTGCTGTTGGTGACTCCAAACAGAAAATCCACCCCAGGGCAGCTGCTGGCTGTCCCTGCTCTGTCTCAAGGGAGAGTTGGAGGGAAAAAGCAAGTGATAAGGGGACGGTGAGCCGAGGTGACAACAGTTTAGATACAGTTTAATAACCCAAACCTTCTTTTTCTGTATTTCCTCCTCAGTTTTCCAGTCCCTCTGCCAAGTGAAGAAAGGAACAGCGTTGGAAGTCAGATGATTTCAGACTGAGCTGTCGCCAGTCCCAGCCAGGTCACGGACATGCTCACAAAAGGCTTTGAGGCTTTGCCATGGGGTCTGTCCCTTCCCAAACCTCCCAAGACGTGGCTGTGAGGCACTGGGCTGGCTGCTCCTCCTCTGGCATCAGCACACATGGCTTTGGGCTCCCCCAGGAGCACTCGGGGAGGCTCCAGGAGCTCTCCTGGCTGAGCTGCCCCCGGTCCCGCGGGAAGGCTGGGGCTGACATCGTGCACATCCCTCGGGTCACAGTGAGCGGGGCCAGGGGGAAGGGTCTGCACCAGCCTGCGGCCCCAGCAGCTCCTCTGCGTTTTTTGGGCGCTGCAGAACATTCCCTTGTTGGATGTCAAGCGGATCAACACCAAGCCATGACGTAGAGGCAGGAATTTGGCTGCAGTTCCTGGCTGATTTAGGGGTGTGGGGATGGAAGGAAAAGGTTCATCTGCAGGGTTTGGTCTGGCTGGCAGTACACCAGCAATTCCAGATGCTCACCTATTACATTTGTGAGTAAAATCAAATCAGGATGGTGTCAATAAATAAATGGGGTTTGTGGTATTAGCAATATTTATTTATTTTTTTAAAAATCTGCCAAGAAGCAAAACGAATGCTGATTTCTGTGGTATTTTACTCTCTGGACATTTAAAGCCAGTTTCAGGCTTTGTTTGCATCTCTGCTTTTTTAGAAGTCTGCAAGGAAAACAAAATCTACTGCTCTGACAAGCCTAAGGATTTCCAAAGGAATACAGAAAGCATGTAATTAGCTTTGGGAAGCTGCCCCACACTTCAGTTTGTCCTCTGCTCAAGGTATTTGTGCAGCAAACTTGTAAGAATCTGATGCCCATTGCACTGGCAACTTTTATCCCTAATTTTTCATGGTTTTTGTGAAAAAGGTGAAAATAAATGTAAATTCTTTGCATATCTTCACTTGAGTCAAAGTATGACAAATCACCTGGTTTTGCTTGGGGTCACTCTGTTGTTTCTTTACATCATGGCAAAAGCAAAATAAGGACAAACTGTGTTCCATAATGGGGTGGGGGAGCAGCTCTTCCCCCTTGAGCTAATCTGCTAATTCTGCTCAGCTGGAGACAACGGAGAGGAAGAGGTGGGGAAAAAATCCAAAATCAGCTACAGTCAGGTGTGTTCCTTTGGGCAAGGATAAACTTTCCAGAATGGCTGTGCAGCTCAGGAGGGCTGTGGTGGCCTCAGCACCAGCTGTACCCTTGGCCCAGAGCTGGGTGCAGGGCTCGGGCACTGCTCCATCCCTGCCCTTCCTGCCCTCCACACAGGTGGGGTCCTGCAGGGTCACTGTCCCTCTTACCCCTGCAGGGGAAGGGTGTTGCTGTTTTCTACACCACCAGTGGTTAAACCAGAGCTTTTAAGCACCTTTGCATCACATGTGTGACATTCTGGGTTATGGAGGGCAGAGGAATTTCCATTTGTTTAATTTTGTGAATAATTCCAGTGGCTGCCTGGCAGGGGTGGAGCTGAGGGATGTAACTCGAGTGTTACCTTAGGTCAGCAGAGGGGTCTTTGGTAATTCTGCCTAAATTCATCTGCAGGACCAACCTTCTGGGTTAAACAACCTGAAAATAAGAAGATAATTCATGGAAGATTTCCTAAAAGCATTTTAGTGTGTGTTTGCTTAAATCCCATGGAGAGGCTGCCTGGAGGGATGAGAGTTCGTGGTCAGAGCAGGAGAGATCCCAGGCTTGGCTCTGCTTCTCCCAGGTCAGCCCTGGCTGAGATTCATCTTTCAGGTCCTTGATGCCATGGAGAGCACTCAGTCCCAAAGCAGGCCCACAGTCCCCTCCCAGCGTGGAGCTGCAGTTCAGCACTGCTGAATTTCATGGAAATCGCTACTTTTGGCTCTTGGAAGCAGCTCTGCTCCTGCCGCTGCTGGAGCCTGTGGACGTGGTTGCTTCCCATGCTTCTCTGCAGGAGAGACTGAGCTTTGCAGGAAGAGCAGAGACGGAGCTGAGGACCTGGAGATCACGGTGTCACCCTGGGCTGGAGCTTGGCACGGGGGGTGTGGGTGCTGTCACTCAGAGGTGCAGAAGGTCCTGTGCATGCCACGCTGTGCCCTCCCTGGCCCGGAGCTTGGGTACATTTCAGGCTCACCTTCCCCTTCCCAGTCAGCTGCCCTGGATCTGCTGAGGAATGAGTGTCACCTTCTGCCACCAGGCTCCCACGTGGCTGTCCCGCTCCGGGTGGCTGCGGCCAGCACAGCCGCGAGGTGAGGGCCACCGCGAGCTGCTCCGGGGCAAGCACAGCCTCCACCGTCCTGGGGCTTCCCAGATGCCTCTCCCATTCCTGGACAGTGTATCCAAAATGTGCTGTGTGTGTCGGTGTGGATCAGGTGCTCACACCTCACCGAGTGTTCCTGTTTATTGCCGTGCTGATGGAGCCACACTCGGGGCTCCTCCTCACCCGCTCGGGGTTGGCTCGATTCTGCTTCACCTCCGTGCGTTTGCAGTGTGTAAACATCAGACTCCTGGGTGGTGGTTGGACTCCATGAGGCCTGGAGGATCGAAGCATTAAAAAAAAAGGAATGAAAAGTAACAAAACAAACGCAAAAAGCCCCAAGACCCACGTTACTGTCCGTGCTTGCAAGTTCTGGCTCCTCTGCGGTGATGGATGCAGCTGGGTTGCGAAGGCCTTGTTCTTGAAATGAACAAACCAGGCTTTTTTTTTTTCTTTTTCTTTTTTTTTTCTCTTGTTTTTTTTTAATCCATTCTTCCCTAGTTAAGTGTGCATCCAGCCGTGTCTGCCGCAACTCCTTCCCTCCCACGCCCCCCCCTCTGCCATTCCCTAGGGAAACACAGGTGCCAGTCCGGTGTTGCAGGTCATGTTGTCCTTGCCGGGCAGCCGTCGGTCGTTGAAGGTGTGCATGTTGATCACGGCGTCCGTCTTCACCATCACGGGGGGCTGGGGCTTGTGCTTGACCCGGCGCTGGCAGGTGAGCGACAGCCGGATCTCGTCGGCCATGGCGCTGCAGAAGGAGCGCTGGGGACAGCGGGGATGAGGCCTTAGCATGTTAGCTCTTATATTTTTCAGATATTTGTAATCCTGCAATTTGTTAGTGTGCAGCTGTAAAGCTCCGTAGCCTCTCAGCCACTGTTCTCCCATTTTATTCAGGTAAAACGATTCCTCTCTAGGGCTGGGAATCAAGGGCACCTCACTGCCTCAGGCCCCAAAAATGATAAACAAAAGTGAGTTGAGGGGAGCAAACCTGGAGTAAATGACTTAATTACCTGAATCCCTTAATTACCAGGGATTAACCCCTGATATGTAAATGGACCAAACTTTTATCTGTCTGAAAAACTCGTGACCATGGTCCATATTTGGTGTGGCCCCTCAGAGGCTTTTGACTGCCCAAGGTGTACCTACTGAAGGCCTTCAATAAATACCCACTTTATTCTCCTGATCTTGCCTAGCCTGTGTTCTAGGGAGCCACTCCAAGGCATCAGGCACAAAACACCCCGTTGCTGCTGCAGTGTTCTGCTCCCCCGGGGGAGCAGCGGGGCTGGAAGGGCTCAGCAGAGGGTGAGGATGAGGTTTGGGGCTGTTCAGGCATTGGCTGTGCTCCGGGGGTTTTTTTGGGTACCTGGCTGAGCCCTCTCCCTTGGCAAGGACTGTGCCTGTGACATGCTCAATCCTGCACAAAGGCAGAGCTGGAGGTGGCTGTCTGGTGCTGTGTGATCCCTGCAGGGCGCTCGGAGGGTCTGACCCTCCTGCCACTGGGCAGCTTTCCTTTCTCTGTCCAGCCCACCATGAGGGCAGCTCGCTTTGATTTCTGGTCATGCACACAAGCGCACGTTCCACTTACTGCCCCGGGACACCCAGGGCAGGGGAAGGACATAAGAGCAGTTCTGCTGTTTCCTGAGCACTGGTCAGCAGTGATGGGCTGTGTCTGTGAGTGTGGCAGAGTTGTGAGACAGCGTGAGGCTTCCTGGTGAGCCCTGACTTGTTCCTCTTTGAATGGGATGGGGGAGAAGGCATGGATAGTCACACCTGGAACGTGCAAGGTGATTGCAAGAGGATGTAACAGCTGAGAAAGGCCCTTCCTAGGGACTTCTGTCTATATTTTAATGATTTATTTGTCAGCTTGCTCTAAACCACCCTACCAATGTGTCCTGCTCTGACTGCTGCAGCAGCAGATGACCCTGATCAGAGCAGACGTGACTTTCCCCCGAGTGGAGGCCGTCAGAGGGACAGCCCAGTGAGCCTCTGGGGATGGCATTTTAGGGTGCCAGGCTGGATCCTTCTGCCCCCTCCCTGCCTGTCCCTGGGTCAGCGTGCAAAGCCCTCTGGGCTGGGCTAAGGGGAGGCAGAGAATCGGGGGAATCGGTCGGTACCTGCTCGCGCTCGGCCGTTTTGCGCAGCTTGTAGATGAACTCCACCATGGCCACGAAGACAGAGAGCACCAGGCCTGCTGCCAGGACAATGAAGATCCCTCCGATGTTCTGGATGCCCAGAGCACTGGCCTCCTTGTTCTCATCCTCAGGGCAGCCATTCCCCCGCCACCACTTCTCCTTCATGACGTGGAGCTTGTCCTCCTCCTGGAGCTGCAGGATGGCGATGGTGATCTTGTCCCTGTACGGTGATCCTGGGGGTGGGGACACCGTTATACACAGAGGGAAGGTGGGACAAAAATCCCACCAAGCAGGGAAGGTGTCTGTGTTAAGCAGCGCAGTTCAGACCTCTCTTCAATGGGCAGACTGTGCTATTTGGAAATTTGCTGCTGGGGGTGGATTATTAATCACCTGTGTTGTGTTTGTGGTGAGCCCTCCTCGGGGTACCTGCAGAGCTGCCACTTACCCATGGGTGTCCCGATGCCGTAGCCTTTGGTGTCGATGAGCCCCCCGATCTGGGTGAGGTTGCAGTTCCTCTGGGTGATGTACTCGATGGTGGTGGACTCCATCAGCAGCGCGTAGTCGGCCGTCAGCGTTCGCTGGATCCCCTCCTCGTTGTTCTTCACCAGGGCTGTGGGCTTGCTGCTCATGAACGCCCACATTTTTTCAAATGTGGAGATTTTGGATTTCTGGAAAAACAATACCCCGCCCCAGCCCCAAAATAAGAATGAATTCTCCATTTGGCGAAAGCTGGTATCTTTTCAGTAAATAATAATAGTTGAGAACAGATCCACAGTGGAGCAGCCATGAATTTGACTTTGTCTTTAATGCCCTCACTGCCCAGCATTGTTTGGGTTTATGTTGCCTTAAAAAGAGACAGGGGTTGCAGCAAACCTTGCTGTGCTTGTGCTCCAGGTCCTGAGGTGGAACAGAACCTGCCCAAAGCCCTGCAGGCCCCCTCGACTCCCAGATCATTGTAAAATCTGCTTAAATGTGTTCACTTCCTAACATTTGTTTACCCTGTAATGCTTCTGCATGCAGAGAGAACAGAGAGTTTTGGAGGACGTGGTTTTCTCTACACACACTCTGATATTTTTGTCTTTCCTCAAGCATGGCAAGGAAACGAGTCTCCTTTGAGATATGTGCAACTGCCAAACAGATTTAACGTACCCACGTAAACAGAAGCACAGAGATATTCAAGAAGATTGTCTTACGGCTAAAAATAAACATGGATATTCTTTCACTATCAGCAGACATTCTGTTGCAAAGGAAGGAATATGTTTTCTAGCTTGCTATTCATGTGAATGTGGTTTTTTTTCCTCCTAGAAAATGTGTTGAGTGAGAAGAAATATGGTTATTTTACGTCTTGCCATAACATTTGAAAAGTACCATTTATCTACGAGCACCTTCTGAGCTGTCTCTGTCAGTCATCACAAAAGTCACAGAATCTCAGAATCCCAGAATGGTTTGGGCTGGGAAAGTCCTTAAAGCTCATCCTGTTCCCCCTCCTGCCTTGGGCAGGGCCACCTTCCACTAGACCAGACTGCTGGTCAGAACTGGCTTTAGTTTAGGAAGATTCCCCAGACTGGCAGAGCAGTGTCCTCTTGCCCCTTTGCTGGTCCCAGTGCTCCTGTGGGTAAGTGCTTCTCCCTCAGACCAGCCCTGGGACAACACTTGGATATTCAGGTTTGTGTTCCCACTGCTGCCAGCTCCTTTATGCAACATTCTTCTTTCCTGCCCCATTTCTTGTTTTTCCTAGATCTGTTTTTGCCTTCTTATTTCATAAGAGGCAGCTTAGGCAGGCAAACCTCTTCTGCTCCTCTGTGAGCCTGGAGCTGGCTGATAAGTCAGAGGGCAGATAAGTCCCTGTGCTGTGTCTGGAACCAGGGTGGCCTCTCAGCAGCTGCTGCACGAGGAGTTGCTGCTGCAGAGCTGTGATTTCAGCCATCCTTTATCTCTCCACAGGTCTCTGTCCTTCCATGAGAAAGCAGGAGATGGAGCCCAAGCCCAGCCCAACTGCTGCTGCCACAGCTCCCCATCATTCTTTCAGTGTCACCCAAAATGTGCCAGCGTAGGTTCTTCTGATAAAACCCTAATAAATAATGGTGAGGTAGCTGAAAGTCCCTTGTAATGCTTCATTTTCCAAATGCTTTGCCCATCCACCTCCTTTATTCCAGCATGTTTAGCAAAAGTTAAACAAAAGCTCATCACCCCAAAGCTGGGTAGTGCAGTGCTGTTCAAACAAAGGCTGTTCCTCTGCCTTTAACCCTGTGGGCCCCTTCTCCTGACTGAAATACCCAGGGATTCATTTCTTCTCCATTAAATCTCGTGCTCGTTATAATCCACTTGATGAATGCTCAGCAGTGGATGTGCTGGAGCAAACTTCATTCAAGAGGCAGGATAATCTCCCTCGCTTGAAAATCTGGACCAGTGCCTGTAAGGTAGATTTGTGGCATCTATCAAACCTCAAAGAGCAGCAAGAAATGTAGCCTCCAAAAGGATTATTAAATATCTGTACATTACAATGGGTAATTGAAATGAATCGTGTGCTCGGCTGGCTGATAAGGACTTGTTTAACATTTATATAGTTCACATCAGAGGCCTCTGGGTTCCTTCACTCTCCCTCTCTCTTCTTCTCTTTCTGCATTTAATGCTCCTTGAGTGTTGACACAGAGCTTTTAACATCAGTGTTCTCCCAGTTTAGAGCACAGAGAAAAATAAACTGGCAAAAAATCAATAGGCTGCATTTAGTGAAGCAAATGGGACTTGCATGAGGCACTGGAGCTCTTCAGGCAACTGAAATTACACGAGACAGGGCTCCCTGGAAGAGAAAAACCACTTTTCTCTTCTTCTCTTAAATCAGTGCTCCAGCTTGAAAGGACTTAATTGTGTTTGGGGTGCCAGGAAGAGCCCAGATTTGTCAGTTCTGGCTGTGCTGCTTTGAGCCCAGCTTGGCCCTGCCAGGGGTGGGGCACTCCTGCAGCTGGGGCACACCTGGGAAGGGCTGGAAGGAAGGATGGAGCTGCTGTCCCTGCTCACTGGTGCCTGATGAGAGCTGGGACAGAGATCTGGGCTCAGGGCTGAGACCCAGCAGGGCAGAGGAGCCGAGGGTCCCTCCAGGAGGGAGGGCAGGACATTGGTGCTGCCAGGGCAGCTCACACCCAGCCCTGGTCAGGGCAGTCTCAGGCTCTAAAACCTGATGAGAAAACTGCTTTTCCAAGGGAAAATTCCCCAGCTGTAATTCCCAGCACAACTCTCACAGGTTGATGGTTTGCTGCAAACCCAGAAGCAGCTGTGAGAGCGATTTTGGTCATCAATCCCAAATCACAGGAGCAGCGAGGGCAGGAGTGTCCCTGCTCCAGCTCACACACAGTTAAGCCACAGAACATGTTTTGTAGTTGAAGGAAAAGTTCATTTCTCCCCTTCCTCCTCTCAAATACCGTGGCCACACTGCAAATATGTTGCTTATTGATGGGAATTTGGATTTTGTCAGCCAGGACTGCACCACAGAAATAAGCAAAATCATCTTAGTAGTAATTTAGTAATAAAGAATGCCTGATATTTTGTTTATTTTGCTGATGGTTTTTCCTGTGTTCTTTATTTGCATGTACGTTTTATTTTGCTTCACCGCTTATTTTACCATAGTTTAATTTTAAAAATTAGGGTTAGTTACTGGTCTGATCCGGTATTTGCTGTGCTGTGGCTGGCTGCTCATTTCTTCTCAAGCGATTCACCATTTACTTTTATGGGCTTCTTAAAAGAAGCATATCTCAGTTGGTTGTGGGTGAAGGGACCCTCCTGTGCCCCCACATCCTCTGGAGGATCCCCAGGTCCCCCTCAGTGACAACTTTGCTGCCAAAGGTAGATGAGGAGGAGCTGCTTGGGTGCTCTGAAGCATCAAGATAAATGGTCTGACACTGGCTCCTTCCTGGCAGAGAAGTTCCTGTGTCAGGAGCCCCGAGATGTTGGGGATGATGGAGATATTGCTAATTATCATGGGCTGCTGCTGCAGCCGTGGCTCACACGGCGGGGTCGAGTCTCACTCCTGCTCACACGAGTGCAGCTTCTCCTTGATTTATTCAGGATAAATAACACCAGAATCTTGTCTGCTGTGCTCTGCATCTTAATCAGCCCGTGTTAGTGCTAAATGAGATGTGTGTGTGAAAGCAGAGTGCCAGCCCCTCCGAAGGCAGCGACGCCGAGAACGCCTCCGAGTTCATTCTTCAGAGCCACAGCTCAGAAGCCACCTTTAATAAGCAGTTCTGCAGGGCCAGTCACCCAAATCAATTAATGGAATCGTTTAGAGGAGCCCCTGCGAGGCATCTTGCCAAGACATATACGCTTTTTTATCAGCCAAATTGGCAAGAAAGGAACTTTCAGGCTTAAGATTTTCAATTCCAGCCTGTATGAAAAAATAAATTGATTTCCACCAACTGAAGATACTTAGTCTTGAGGATTTAACATTTCTGTATGAGTATCTGTGTACACACATACACACACTCACATCCAGACTCCAAACTGCACTTGAGACCTGGCCTTCCATTCAGAGAGGCAGCATTCTCTGCAGGATGGGAAGGATTTATGACTTATAATCAACTCTAGATGCTGTTCCTAAATTAATTGATCAGTGTTTATTCCTGTAACTCAATCTGCATTGCCAGGGAGTAAACAGCTTCTCAAAAGTTCTTTTTATGAAGTCAGAACGTGCCAGTATGGTTGGTGAAGCTCTCTCTTCTTCCCTCTCTTGGTTTGCTTGGCTGCACGGGGCCAAATTTTATGGGAGCAGCATCCCTCACTGTGGGGCTGTCCCAGAGGGGTCTTGGTTCCATTGGGACCTTCTGCAGTGTCCCTGGGGAGCTCTGCACAAGCTCTCAGGCTGAGCACAGCTCAGTGCTTTGGGATCCATCTCATGGAGCAGCATGCCAGGTGTCCACCTTTCTCTTCCTCCCGTTGTCCTTCCTCCCCAGGATCTGGGTGCTGCTCTGCTCCTGGATCCTGGGGGATCCAGCATGGGCAGGGTGGGCCCTGACAGAGGGGCTGCAGGGCCTGGGGGTGCCCAGGGTCGGTGTGTGCAGCTTGCAGCTGATTTAACAGGGGGAAAGGAAGGAAGGAGTGAGACCCTGCTGTGAGGGGAATGACTGCGGGGAACAGCCACACAAAGAGCCAGGCAGCAATTTGGGCCAAGTACGGCTAAATACAGTAAATATATAGATAATCCACGGGGCAGGTGAGATCCTCATGGTGTGCTGCCTCTTGTCCCAGCAGGGGCAGTGTGTTCAGAGCTGCTGGGTGCTCAGGCTCTGGATCTGCTGCAGGAGCCCTGGCTGGTGGGGGCTGTCTCTGCTGGAGCCCCCTGGAGCAGGGCAGAGCAAGGCAGGGAAGCCAGGTGCTGTTCTTCCATCCCAGGGAGGGTGGATCCTCAGGAGCTCTGTGCTGAGACAGGTGTCCCCATGGAGGTGGCACTGACAGAGCAGCTGAACCAAACCCACCACAGGAATTACCCAGCTGAGAACAAAGACCTTGTTGGAGCTGGGACAAATCCTGCCTCTCCCAAGTCCCTCTGTGCAGGAAGGACAAGTGAGCAGAGCTTCCCACGTGGGAGCTCCCACTGCTCCAGTAATGGAAATGCTTGTCAGAAGGGACATTCCTGAGAATTCATCTCCATACAGCAGTGATAATAAAAAGGAAAAGGAAAATACTCTGCATCAATAAACCATGCCAAGGCCGTTAGAAGCCTGAAGTACGGTTCTGATGGATAATGATATGAAGCAATAAATATACTGTGTCCTGATGATTGTTAAAAGAGACAGTCCTTTTATTCCCATATAAAACTCATACTGGAAAGGGCAGTTAAAGCACACAGTTACAGCCTGCCTTTCCCTGCTGGCTGTTCCAGGGTTTTATGGCTTTGGAAAACACCACCACACGTCTGCCTGTGCCACGGACAGAACTGCATGGGGCAGCTCCATGGCAGGAGGCAAATTGGGCATTCCCAGAGTCACTAAAGATCAAACCACCCCCGTGTGGTTCTTTATCAACCTCTGCTGCTGCCTGTCAGAGTCAGGACACAGATCCAGCGAGGACAGTGGCTTCTCAGCCACATCAGAGCCAAGAGAAGTTGCATGGGAGCAATGCTCCCTCTGTTATTAAAATCCAGCATATTGCCTTCCTTTAATGAGTCTTGCCAATTAAACTGCTGAGGCCTCATCAAGCTGCCATCACCCTGTGCCTGCTCAAATCTTGCAGCACCAGGCACAAAGTGCTTGGTAAAGCCTGAACTGTGCTGGTCACATGTATTTCCTCCTGCTTTAGGGTGGTGGAGGGGGAAGGAGCCAGAGGTGTTGGGGAGCCAGCTCCCATTCCTGAGCCAAAGCCTGGGATCTTCCTTTGGGCCTCTTTCCTTGCCAGGGTGATAATTCCTTAATCACCCTTCATTTCTATCCCTTTATTCTCTCTCTCTTTTCAAACTGGGTTTTTACAGGCCAGCAGTGGTTTTAAAGGTCATTTTACATCTCTCAGTTTCTTTCTATTTTTGAGGCTATGGTGGAATCTGACTGACTTCTGAATTTAATTATGCTTTAAATAGACAAAATTAATGCAATTGGATTGTGATGCACTGGTACTGTTACCTTGCCCTGGATCTCAGAGGTTAATAAAACTGGATTACATTGATATGAATACCTGAAGGACAAGAAAGATATTTCAGCTGCAAAAAATACAATCAGGGAGGGCACTTGGCAACATCTGTCCAGCTGTGGGCTTCATTTGGGCTCTCCTCTGTCCCTGAAGGCTGGCTGGGTCAGCCTGGGGCTCCATGGGGCTGAGCTGCCAGAAGCAAGGAAGAAACGGGATGGCTCAGATGTGGAAATTGGGAAGGTGCTTTAAGGAATGTAAAATTTTTCTGCAGGGCTTTAATACAAGCTTCACTTTGGCATCTGCTACGTTTTAGGGTGTCTGAGCCAATATTGGGTAGAGCCTGCAAAAGTGTAAAATCAGTTTAATTTTGTACCTGTGACTTCAGTTAACAACAGGGAGGGGGATTTAGCCTTGGTGGGACTCAGGTGAGTGAAAATCTCAGTCTGGGCAAGATGTGAGACAGAAAGAAGCTGCAAGAAGGAGCAGCACGGGTGGCTTGAGAGGATTTCTGTCTTTGGATCTTTGTCCTGGCTCCCGTTGGCATCTCTGCCTGGAAGGTAGAAAGCCTCTGCCGGGTCTCACCTTGAAGAAGGTCATGGTAGCTCCATCCTTCACTGCTCCATACTCTATTTTTGTCTGCTTTGCCAAGTCATCTGCCGAGTCAATGGGGGACTCCATCCTCTCCACGGTCAGGAAGGCCGCGAGGTTGGCCGTGTAGGACGAGATGATAATTAGGGTGAAGAACCACCATATGCCACCAATGATCCGTGTGGACAGGGCTTTGGGCATCAGCTCCGAGCCTGGGGGGGACAGGGGGAGGAGGGCAGAGGAAATAGAGGGAAAGAACCCATTTCATGTGTCCATACATATATTTTATATACATATATATATATGTGTGCGATCAGGTTTCACTGTCAAAACTGTTACAGCCATGCAATTAAAGCCAACTGGTTTTGAGGCAAATTATCCAGACATCTTGCATGCAAGGGGATTTTGTAGCATTTGCAGAAAAACCCTCTTCCTTGATTACTGACCTTGGGTACAGTGCCCAATTTACAGGAAACATCCAAACTGAAGTAATTAACTGGGCTGCTTTTATGATATTTAAATAGCAAGCTATTTATGAACTTTTATGAGTGTTTTGTTCTGCCATTTAAAAAGGGCTTTGCTTTTATACAGATTATTTTCAAAAGACTCACTCTGGGGAGTGTGTTCAAATACACAAGGTTTAAAAAAAAATCAAACACCAAGAGAAAGGAACTATCAGGGTCCAGGGCTTTGAATGCCAGTCAGAAATGGGGAAGCAGGAGATGTTACAGCATGAAAGGTGTAGTGGGTCTGGAATGGCTTATTGAGCAGACATGAAGAGCTAAATGGGTTGTGCTATTTTTGTAATCACCCAAAACACCTTTTAAAGCCAGGCAAGAGCTTTGGGCTTGAAACAGCTGTGCTCAGAGGATTTATCGGCCTGGAAAGTGCAACAAAGATTGGGCTTTGCAAAGCAATTTTAGGCAGTGTGGCATCAAAGCAGAGCATGGGGTGTAGTTTTCCTCCCTTCAGAGTGCAGCAAGGAGACACCAGGAAGAGGAGGAGTCCTGGATGTTGAGGGTGCTTTGGTTCTCCTCAAGATCCTGCTTCTTCCCTCTTCCATCTCCAGCCCTTTGATGCATTGGATGCTGTGACATCAGTCTGGCTTTGAAATATTTTTCTTCTCAGATGCAGAATTGAGTTAAAAAGAATATAGCTCTTTTCATTTATCAGCATCTGATAAGAGGGATGATTCATCCTGCTAAACCCACTTGCTGGGAACTGTCACTGTCCACGAGGGCAGCTGAGATCCAGGAGGAATCTCTATTACAGGCAGCAGTGGAGCTCAGAGCAGCTCTGTGCCTGCCACTGAGCCAAGGCTGTGCTTCTTTTGCTCTCTGGATGTAACCACTGATACATGGTAAATTAAAGTGTGACAAATGTTTGACATTTTCCACTTATTTCTATTCCTGGATTTTCTGCAATTAGATCGCAGCTGAATTTCGTTCCTTATTCAGAGCTGCTCCCAAGCTCCCCCCCTGCTGCCTTCTGAACAGATTTATTCTGTTCATTGCATCTCTCTATTCCATTCACACACGGGGTGTAATCCCATCCCTGTCCCATTTCTGGGGTCCCTGTGGCCCTGGTGGCTCTCAGCAGTGCCACTGGCAGCTCTCCTGAGGGGCTGCTGGGCACAGGCTCCAGGGCAGCTCCTCCAGGCTGGGCAATCTCACGCTGCTCAGAATGACCAGGGGAGGGGAAAAATGGGCATGGAGCAGAGGGCAAGGCACCCTGTCTGCTGGAAAAGTGGATTTAGAACAGAGAGAGAGCCAGGTCAGAGATCCTGAGACTGAACAAATGGTTTGAATTAACAGAAATAGGAATTTGCAGAGTCCGTGGGATGTGGGGGGATGAAGCAGCTGAGGGAGATGAAGGCAGTGCTCCTCCTTGGAGCTGCAGGGGCCAGGAGGTGCTGGGAGGTGGCAACCAAAGCAAAATTTCAGTTGCAAAAGCCCTAAGAGCAGGCGGGTGTCCCTTACCTTGCTGCATCAGTGCCCCCATCCCGAACCAGAAGCTGTTGAGCAGGGTGAAGTTGTTCTCCACGATGTCCGAGCCCGGGTTGCAGGGGTGGGCATCGTACCACTCATAGGGGCTGAACCTGCAGCACACAGGGACACAGAGCTCCTGATGATGATGATGCCTTGAGGGGCTCCTAGGACACAGGCTAGTCAGGATTAGGAGAATGAAGTGGGGATTTATTAAAGGCCTTCAATAGACACACCCTGGGCAGCCAAAGCCGTCCAGAGGCTGCACCCAAGATGGACAATGGGCACGAGTTTTTCATTCAGTTATGGGTTTGGTCCATTTGCATATCATTTACATATTAATCCTTAATTACAGCTTCAGGTAATGAAGTGACATACCCCCACTTTGCTCCCCCCATTTCATTTTTGCTCATACTTGTCAGGGCCTGAGGCCTTGAGTTCAGCCTAGGGTGTCCTTGGATCTCAGGCCTCGAGAGATTGTTTTGTTTGACCAAAATGTGAAGACAGTTAAATAACACTTTATATGGAGTTATGCACTAATGCAGCACAGGATCTGAAAAAATATAAAGGCTAAAATCCTAAGGCATCACTTAGCTGAGATGTGGCAGGACAAGACTCTAACGGAACTGGAAAAAAGGAGTCTCAATGCCTCTGGTGCTGCTGTGCAGGGGCTGCCGACCCTCTGGGGCACAGCTTTATAGAGAAAAAAAACAAATTCAGCCCAAGTCACCCACACAGCTGTAAGTCTGTGTCTTGCATTCTGGAGAGCAGAGACCTGGGAAGCCAAGTCCTCCTGAGGTGTCTCAGATGGCTTCTCCAGAGCCTTTGGTCACTTGGGATCATCTTTTCAATATTGTGTCCTACAGCAGCACCTGGAGCATGTGATGGTGGGATGGGATGGGATGGGATGGGATGGGATGGGATGGGGTCCAGACACATAACCTCTCATATGTAACAGCTTGAAAATGTGGAAAAAAAGGACATTTTTGGTTGACTAAGGAGAAGCCGTGGTCATTCTGCAGTAGTAGCAGGGACAAATTGGTATTTTAAGAGATTCTCCCACCAATGCACATGGGAATCAGGGTGGGATTTATGTCACTGAGAGGTAGAACCTCCCACCATCCTGACAAGCAGGAGTTTGGCCCAGTCAGGGCATTGGCAGAACACTGGAATGTGGTGGCAGTTTGCTGTGGACAAACTTATTCCCTGTGTAGTTCCAAGGATAGCCCTGCAATTCTTGAGCAAGACTGAGGGAATTTCCTAGGAATATCTCTGCAAATTCTGCCCAAGATTGGCAGGCAAGCACTGCTGGGAATGAGCTCGTTTAGCCAGGATCTGGGGAGGGTGCTAAACAGTAGAGATGTTAATATTTTTAGAGCTGTTTATTTACATTTTCTGAGAGTCCCAAATTTTGCAGAGATTAAATTAAAAACATAATTGGTATAATTGCTTTTGATCCAGGCATTAATTATCATCTCCGCTTCCTTCTGGAATCCCTGGAGATTCACAACAGCCCCTTCTCAAAGCCCAGCCCACAGCCTCTATCAGGAGATGTTTCCCTCTGTAATTCTCCACCAGATGCGCCACCACCCAAGGAGAGGGCTCGTGGCTCCACTCCAGGGTGGCCTCGCTCAGACAGTTGGATTTGTTTGGAGAAGGGCCCCAGATCCCTGGCAGGAGCCTCCTGGCACTGAATCCTGCCCTGGACACGTGTCAGGGCAGAGCTGTGGTCCTGGCAGCGCCAAGCACGGGAGGGGACTGGGGGAAAACCATCCCTGGGATGGACAGGGCACAGCCCACGCTCCTGTGGCTTTGGAAGAGATTACCCTGGGCACAGCTGTGCCACTTTTTGCTCCTGTTTTCCACTCAAGGTACAGTGCAGTGAGCTCTACTTTCCTCCCTGGTTTAGCTCACCTTCCTGCAGCAGCCTGGGCTGGGTTTGGGGTGTGGAACCCTGCTCAGGCTGCACCCTGGCATTGCTGCTTTTCATCCAGTGATGGTTGGGCTCTCCTTGCTCCTCACCCTCCTCTGCTCTCTGAATCAGAGGAAATCAGCAAGGAAACAAGAGCCAGGCTGAACTCAGACCTTTACATGCTGCTTATTCCTTGGAACTTGCTATAGATTCACACCAGAGGTGGATAAAAGATGGTGTCTTGGTCCTTTCTGTCAGATAAAGCCAGAGTTCAGGAATTAGATTAAAACTTTCTTGGGCTGCCAATGAAAGACTATGAAAAAGAAAGGGAATTGGTAAGATCAATGAGCCTGGCAAGATGACACGCTGGAGAACTTCAAGGTCTGAGTGAAAACCTACTGGTGCAGCTCAAATGACAGAGAAATATTCAGAAATCTGCAAAGCAGCAACAGCCTCCAGTGCTTGAGCAGAGAAACCATTAGTGGAAGCAAGAGGTAACGAAGGAAGGAGGGAGAGGAGCTCGTTGACCCCAGAGCTCAAATCATTGGGGGAACTCAGGACCCTCCATGGCTGTCTTCCCTCATCCTCACATGCACTGTGGCTCTGAGAAATATTCCATCAAAAACGAGCATCATTCTCCTGTCTCTTTCAGCTTTTTGGGTGGGAAATTGAAGCACTTGGAAGAAATTTAAAAGATTTAACACAAAATACTTTTGAGTCTAAATTGTGTCTCCAGAGAAATTTTCAATGGATGACCCAGGCTGTTGCATTTGCAGGGAATGTCCTGACAAAGGCAGAAATGATGCATCTGACTCCACATTCTCAGAGGGCTGATTTATTATTTTATAATACTATAGTATACTAAAAAATACTATATTATAGTAAAGAATACAGAAAGGATACTTACAGAATGCTAAAAAGATAATAATGAAAACTGGTGACTCTCTCCAGAGTCCCGACACAGCTTGGCACTGATTGCCCAAAGAATCAAAACAACCCACAGCAGAATGCAATGAAACAATCTCCAAACACATTCCACATGTGAGCACAACACAGGAGAATCAAATGAGATGAGAATTGTTTTCCTTTTTGTGTGAGGTCTCTCAGGTTTTTCCCAGGAGAAAAACCCTGGGCGAAGTGATTTGTTCAGAGAATGTGAATTCCACACCAGACCTCGCTGCAATTGGGATGAAGATTAAACCCACCCACCCAGCCTGCCAGGCAGCCAGAGGGGTTGGGTGTAATTTGGAGGCTGTGTGAGCCCGGGGACAGCCTGGCACCAGAGCCTCCAGACACAGCATCCCACGGAGCCCTGGGGACAGCCAGTGCTGATGGCTCTCTGGGGATGGGGGTTGGGAGCAGGGGCTCCATCAATAGCGAAGAAAGGCTGATTAAAATGACAGATGAGCCAAATCCGTCCTTTGCCTGCCTCTAAATAGTTCCTGAGTCTGTTTTAAGTGGCATTGACCTATGGTTATGGCATGAGCAGAGGGCTCTGGTGCCCAGTTCAGAAGAGTCATGTCTCTGAATTAAGGTTTTCTATTTTGATTGTGGTTTTCCGCTGAGAATTGGATTTCAGAGGCCTTGCTGGGGTCAAAAGCAGATATTGTTTCCATCACTTCTGAATGCAATAAATATTTTCCCTGTGAAATCTCTTGCCTTCCATCTCTATGTGTTAAAAGACCATTCCTGCAGAATTTTAATTACCCCGAATACTTGGTGTTATTTGAAAGAATAGGATGACAGAAGAAATGTCAGGAGCAAAATGTGAAAAAGAAACTGTAATTGCAATATTTTATGTGTTGAATTTAGTCCAAAAAGTAGCCTGATAGGGAAAAATTGTTCTACAACCTCATAATTGCTGTGATGGAGTGAGATGCTGAGGTTCATTTCAGAATAAAACCTGAGACAAAGCCACAGTTCTTCATGTTTTCACTCCTCAACATCAGCCAAAAGCCAGGCAACACTGCCATGCTAGGACAGACATCCCTGTTTGTGCAAAGTGGTGGCTGGGGGACTTCACATCAGGGCCTGCCCCAGCATTGCCTTCGGCCCTTCTGCAGCATTTCACATGCAGATACAATTTGCACATTTAACATGCTTTGAAAGCGGGATCTGGACAATTTGGGCTGGATCTGGTCATCACGAGCTGGGAAAAAGAAGCTCCAAAATGCAAAATTGAGTTTGGGTTGTCACTGCAGGGCACAGGAGCAGGCTGGTGCCATCGAAGCCAGCGGCACTGCGGGAGCAGAGCCCACCCAGCTGTGCCCTGCCTAGATGACAGGGACAGCCAAGGGCTGTCTGTCAGCCACCACAGGACTTTCCTTCTCATGGTTACTTTGGGTCCCCAGAGGAGACTCTTGTGCTGCTGAGAGCACCTGGTTGTCCCTGACAGGGTTGGGTGGGCAAAGACAAGGCAGGAGGGTGACTGCAGCAGCAATCTGGATCAGGGAGAGCCCTCCACATCCTCTGAGAGGAAAACTGTGCGTGCTGACAGTCTGGCCAGGGAGAAAGTCAGATAAACTTTCCCAGGCATTGCTCTGGGGGAGCTTTGAGAAAGCTCAGAGAAAGAATTACAGTAATATTTAATCTTTGCAGGTGGTGTTTTGAACTTGTTGTTCACTTGTAAGATGTGTACAAGAAGGGTGTTCCTAATTAGCCAGTGAGGTGAGGGGTGTTAATTGAGGACAAAGCAGATCCAGTTTTCTTGGAACAGTCTATAAAAGAATGTGACATCTAATAAACTTCACTATTGCCTTCTGAGAAGACCTTGGAGTCTGTGTCGCTTCATTCAGCTGTCCCTAATACAAAAGTGACAGAAAACAAATGTCCAAATCTGCAGAGGAGGAACCAGAGGATGCACCTGCCTTGCCATGCATGTTTAACATGCTTTGAAAGTGGGGCCTGGACAATCTGGGCTGGATCTGGCCGTTATGAGCTGGAAAAAACAAGCTCCTCATGTGAGCACTGCAGTGCTCTCAGCACTCAAGCCCAGCTCACTCTGCTGCTCTGTGTAATTGGGATATGACAGAGTGGACGCAGGAAATCTGCTCTAAATGCCCCCCGGACTGAGGGATGCTGAAAATTGTAGATTTGTTGTACCATCAGGGTTAATGTAGGCTGCTTGCTCCAGTTCTGTAGCTGATCTTTCCTTTGACTCTCTAATGCCAGTGGATGAGGGAGGAATGTTTCTGGTGGATGCTCCCAGGAAGGTGTAGCACAGCAGCCTTGGGGAAAAGGGTCTGCATGGACCCCCAGACCAAAACAGGGAGGGCTCTGAAATCCCCACTGGTAGAAATTCAACTGGAAATAAGGAGAAATGAGCATCAAACTGCAGAGTGGGCTGAGGAATCTTTCCTGGACGAGGTGTTTATGCAAAGTATTCCACTGAGGGCTGTGTGTGGTCATGCAGGGCACCTGCCTGCAGGAGGGGGAAAGTGCTTTGTTTTGATTTGAATAGGTGAGATCACGGATTGAGAGCAACCCTGGACTGTGTCTCATCAAAGGCCCTGTGGAATTAACATGGCATGCAAATGTATGCAAATGCTGCCTTTAAACATAGAGGATTTAAACATGCTAATTAGATGCATATTAATTTTGTAAACAGACACATTGTCTGATCTGTAGCAACGGCTTCTCCATTCTTTGATATAGGGAAGGGTTTGTGTGAGCTTTACAGAGGCAGAAGGGGGAAATGGTGGGGGAGAGGGGAGCTCAGGTCCCAGCAGAGGCTGGGAAAGGTGTGAGCAGAGCATGAATGGGCAATGACACAGAGACACTTCATGCACCAGGAGGTGCTGACAAGATGGGAAGGCTGCAAAACTTCTGAAATCTTAAAATTCTTTCAAGCTGTGAGTGTGTGAAAGTGAGCAGCCAGCCCATGGGGATGGACCAGAGGGGATCTCAGGGGTGACAAGGGTTTGGTGCTGCAGCTCCCTGCCACCCTGTTCTTCTAAGTTCTTCTGAGCCTTCTGATGTTTACATTCTTGTAACAAACTTTCTCACGGACTCTATGTAAATAATTAATTGTTTTACATTCCTTTCTGGAGAAGGATAAACTTGATGGACTGTTGGTTTGTCCAGTGTCATTGGAGAGATGTCACTGTCACCTTCCAATCCACTTTAAAAAGTCTATAAATGTTGGAGTCAGAAATTAAACTTCCATCTTTTACCTTGGAGGTTCCAGTGTGCATGTCATTTTATTTGATGTCCTAGAGTGACAGCTGCCAGCAGGGCCCCCTTACCTGGCTATGACAAAGAGCACACAGCTGACCCCCAGGTAGGCAAGGAGGATGTACATCCAGATGTCAGGAGAGAGGGGGTTGAGGAAGGAGAAGACGCTGGGGTTGGTCCCGTTGGGCTTCCTGTAGAGGATGCTGACCCCCAGGGTCATGAAGGGCTTGGAGAAGTCGATGGCTTTCTCCCGGACGTGGGTGATGGTCAGAGGAGCCACGGCCAGGTCAGCTTTCTGCAAACAGCACAGGGGGAGGACACAGGCAGGGAGAAAGGAGGAGTTAGAGACAGAGGTGTTTCCATCCCCTTGGAGACACCACAGCTCTCACACAGCACAAACAGGCCAAAAACCCCCAAAGTGCAGCCCTGGGGTTCCCCCCTGCTGTGGCACATGTGGTACACATTTGCTGAGAAATACAGATGTGGGGGCACAGTGTTTGCTGTGAAATACAGATGTTTAAGCACAGTGTTTGCTGTGAAACACAGATGTTGGAGGTGCAGTGTTTGCTGTGAAATACAGATGTTTAAGTTCAGAGTTCACTGTAAAATACAGCACAGCCAAATGGAGGCGTTACAGCCTCTGCAGCTTCTGCCCCGATGTGATGAGCTCCTCTGAAATGGTCAGAAAAATCAGATTTTACAGAGTCCTAAAGTGTCAGTGTCCCTTTTCTTGCTTTCTCCTCACGACAAGATTCTACAACGGTGAGCAGGCTGTGTGCAGAGCCTGCTGTTGGCAGCAGTGGTTTGTTTTTGCTGTTGTTGTTGTCCTTCCTTTCATTTGTTGTTGTCCTGCTTTCGCGCTGATGCAAGAGGAGAGGAGGGTGAGGATGGAGCTGCAGGGAGCCATGCTGTGGCAGTGTGAGGTAAAAGGTTCAATTTCTTTTCCCTCAGTCATTTCATGATGCAGTTTGAGGGCTCAGTCTCAGGCAGGAGTGCTCGGTGCCGGGGGGTGGAGGGAGGGAGGTGTGCAGGTGAGATCCTCTAAGGAAACACTGTTTAATGATGGACTCCTCAGCCCATCCTGCTGGAGTGCTCTGAGCTCCCTGAAGAATTTCAGCTGAGCATATTCCTTATCCTGACAGCTTGTATGAATTGTGTTTGTTTCTATTATTACTGTTATTTGCTAATTTGTGTTAATTCAACGAGCAACCACGTTCACCCTCTTTCTGTTGGGTAAGAGCTGCATTCATTTCTCTCACTAAACATTCATCCAGGTGCTTAAAAGCCACAAGTAAACACGTCCAAGGTTTCCTCAGTATCACCTTCCTTGCCTGAGCTTTGCAAATCATTCTTTGAGATTGTGAACTTCCAAGGAAACACAGACACATAAATTACAGCTCTGAAGTTGAGCAGGACCTCCCCCCACGCCAGGAGCCCCAGCGAGATTTATTTAACATCTGGTTCTGAAAATTAAAATTCTGAATTACCCATGAGTGATAATTATCTAGAGATACAGTAGATTTGTCATCATTCATGGACTTTAAATCAATACTGGCTGGAACATTTTTTCTTCTTTGCTTCAGCAGGAACTCGGGGCTCACTGTAGGAGCCAGAGCAGATCCCTGGCCTGTGCTGGGGGTAGAGGTTGTACTAATGGTTTCATCTGACCTTGCAATCCATGATCAAGTCAGTGCAATATTTATAAATAGAAGAATCTGGGTGTTTTACTGTAGGAAGAGTCTCTACATGAGCTTTTGTCCATTTACACAAGTGTGTGTGTGTGTGTGTGCAAGGGATTCCCTCCAAAGAGTGCAGCCTTAGAGCTCCTGAACAGAGGCCTTCAGGAATTATGTAACAAGGGTAAAAATGATGTGATTTTTGTTCTAACATGGCTCTCCAGCTGCATCCTGCTTTCCTTTCCTTCTCACTTTCCAGATGGAAATACATTTTTACACCAGCCTGGTACACGAAAAGCTTCATTTTGGCATTTGTCAAAATCTGTGGAAAATGGGGACAATATTTTCCCAGTGAGCCCATTCTGCCAGCTGTGGTTGTGGTGACAGGGACAGAAGCTGAAGGGGGTTGGGGGTGGCATTCGTGGCTGCCCAGCCTGAGCTGGAGATGTTGTTCTGCATCCTGGGGACCATCCTGGCAGGTTTGGAGCTTGGCTGCTCCCACCACCTTCCAGCACACCTGGAAATTTTGGCTTAGTGCTCCACACAGTCACAAGGCAGAAATGGCAAAAGAAATGCAGCATTTTCCCTCCTCCATCACTTCTGTGTGGGTGTCCTGACTCACCAGGGAAAGGCAAAGAAGATGTTGAAGGATTTGGCTATGGGTTTTTCTGAAGGAGGGAGCAAATGTTCTGTGGTCAGAGCTTGCTGGCAATGGCCAGGCTGAGGGAGCCTCAGCCAAATTTGTCAGAACAATAACAGTGAGCTAAAGAACAGCCTGGAGTTTGTGCTTTGCCGCGGAAAATGAAGAGAGAGAACTCTGCATGGATGCCCAGGGATCCAACTGCTTTTAGAGCTGAAATAAAATTTTATTGTGTGGCTCCAGCAGCTCCTGTGATGTGCTCCCAGCCCTGTGTCCTTGCAGGGAATGTCACATTCAGGCAGGACAGAGCAGGGATTCTGGAGCCTGGCTGGGCTGTGTCCTGAGCAATTAGAGGCAGCACAGGGCTGCACTTCCATATCCTTTTTATCAATGCAGATTTTTCTGAAGGTGGCCTCTAATTAAGGCTTTGCTGACAGAGAGGATCTAAATCAAACCCACCAAGGGTGAATCTTTGATTTGTCGTGCTCTGACATTACAAACTGGGCAGTCAATTACCAGACTCTGGCTGCTTCCTTTGCTCAGCCCTGGCTCTTGTGCTGTTGCAGTCAGGTGGGTTTTATTAAAGATGAGGAATTAGAGCAAGTGCCAGTGGCTTAAAGACCCTTGTCCAGCAAAACCACTTAAGCCTGCACCTCTGTTTTACTGGAGCTCACACGTCTTCCAAGTCCTGTCCCTGTTCTTAAGTGTTCTGCTGAATCGAGGCCAAAAAGATGAATTCTGCCAAGGCAGCTACACATCAAATGCAGACACTTCTCCAACACACCTCCAAGGGTTTGGATCTCCTCATTCACCCAGTTCCAGCGTTTCACTTGGCTGGAGCAGCTGTGAGTTCATCGGGTGTTCAGCACGGGGATGATGGTATTTGCTGCAGAGATACTTGGTTTCCATCAGAAAATGCCAAGTCTTATCTCCAAGTTCTCATTATCAGGGAGATGTGGCCTGTGGGTCAGGACAGCTCTTGTGCAGCCGTGGTCACTGTGGGAATCCTGCAGTGCCTGACCTCAGCCGGAGCCAAGCCGTGGGCAGTGGCTGGTCATGGCAGAGCCCACCAACAGCAGAAGCACCAAGATAAATATTTATTCAGGAAAAGAAGCTGCCTCTGTGCTTATTTTGCCAATCTGCGTTAGGTATTTACATAAACTAATCATGTGTGTGTTGCCTGAGAGACAGAAATAGTGTGTGTGTGTGTGTTTTACTGATTTAATTGTTACCCAGGCCTGGCACTGTGATCCCTCGGTGTCTCTTGCCACTGCCAGCACTGGGGCTTCTTCCTTGGGCCCTGTCTCTGCTTCCTGCTCTCCTGCTCTCCTGGCTTGGCTCCTGTGCCCTGCTCCTGCTGCCTGTGTGTGCTGGGCTCACACCTGAGCTCCCTGCACCTTTCCCCGGCTGTCCTGGGGATGAGGCACAGCTGGGGCAGCTGGGCTCCCCTGCAGCTCATGACTCAGAGAGGGGGGCTGCTGCTGGGGCAGCTGTGGGGGTCTCTGTGAGAGCCCCCTGCCTGCCCAGGGGGAGGGAAGCACTCACAGGGAGCAGGGATGCTCAAGGAGAGCAGGGTCAGTGCTGAGTGTCTGACTCCAGCTCTTAAGGGCTGCTCTTGCAGTCTCACAATTTGGACATCGTTTTTGTCAATGGGTTTATTCGATACTGGGGGGAATTAAGAACAGATGTTGGCAGGAAAAACCCAGCAGTGAGCTGAAGGGGAGGAATGAGGGCCATGAGGTCCTGCTGGGGCTTTTATAATCTTCGCTTTAAGGAAGATCTCCAGAGTTGGAACTGCCACTGATTGTACCTGAGGGATGTGAAGGCTGGAGGATTCAGGTGAGAATGGCCCCGCTGTGAGAAACAAGCCCTATCCTATGGATTCCTGGCAGGTGAAGCAGCCAGCAAGGGGCAGGGACACCTGCTGAGCACGCAGAGAACCTGAACTCCCAATACACAGATCCTTCACCTGGATCCCTGAGTACGACCCAGTCCTGAATCCTCAGCACTGAGGTCCTGCAGTGTCTGAACAAAAGGTGGAGGACACTTCATCCAATTAAATTGTTTGCTCCCTATCCCTGGCCCAGTGACATCCAAATGAAGCCCCATTTGATGACACATGAGATGAAACATCCACCAGTGCAGAGCATTAGTGGGGAGCTGGCAGTGCGGTGCAAGATGTACTTCTGCCAGAATTTACTGTCAGAAAATGCCCACTTATTGTGGAATTGTTAAATCAGCTGTCAGGAGTCATTCCTAAGGATGGATATTACAAGTCCTCTGCCGTTCCCATTGGCAGGGATTTCCATCAGAAACCCCAGTATTTGCCACATCTCTTTTATTCCCACCTGAAGTTTCAGATTGAATGGCAATGTGATGTGCACTGTGGCAGCAGAAGACAAGTTTTATTTGTGAACAAGTTTGTGCAAAATGTCCAGAACAACTCATTCTGCTGCTTTTATGGGATTCTGCCCACAAACAATAGGGAAGATTTGCAGGCATTGCTTTGCCAGACAACTGGAATTTATAAATCAGAACGGATGGGCCACGGTGTGCAACGGAGCTTTGCTTGTATCAGTAATAATTTCTATGAATAAACATCAATAGCAGTTCACTGTTGCTGAAAGGAGGAGGTTTGGCACTTGTCAGGTTCTCTGTTTGTTGTGAATAAAGGGCTCAGGAGCTTCTCTGCATCGCCTGGGTTCCCCAGACCTCCCTGAATACCTGAGTTCAGCTCTCGTGGCCCTTCTGATCAAGGCTCCTCCGTGGGAATGGCCAGAGGGGTGACAATAAGCAGTAGGCTGAGGTTACTTCTCCAGGGAATGAACTGAACTCCTCAAAACAGGGACTTTTTGTGCTGAGGATGAGCAGCAGATGAAAGGCAGCGGGGCAGGGTGGTGCATTCAGCTGCATGAGGCTCTTGTCTCTGCATCTGCTATTGGGGACCTGTCAGAGACAGGGTCGTGCTGTGGCTGCTCTGATTGCTGTTGCTTTTCCTGTTTATGCTTAAGGCCAGACTAGAAACAGAGGGATTTTACAAAGGATCATAGCCTGAGGCATCCCTGCCTGTGGCCAGGCGTGTCTGGATCAGAGAGAGCAGAGGGGGAGCATTCGTGACTGCATCAAGCCCACAGTGCTCACTGTGTAAACACCTGTCCCAGCACGTGATTTACCTTTGGGGGGCCAAATTTTGGGGATTTACCTCTTTGGTGACAGCACCTTTGTCCCCCAGACAGTGTTGTCATGCACCTACCCTCACCCAGCTCCTCTGAGGGCATCTCCACCCAGTGCAGGCCACCCCAGGGGACAGGTGCCCCTTGCTTTGCCCATCTCCCCCTCTCCAAATTTCAGCTCAGCTGAGTTGGAATATTTCTGGTACACAGAATCTGCTGCTTCCACAGCTCCCAGACCCTCTGAGCAACAATAATCACCATTTTAGCCTCTCACCTCACCCCAGGAGCACTCCCTGCTCTGCACAGGTCGTTCAGGGAGCCCACACCAGCTCAGCTCACCTGTGTCACAGCAATCCAGGGGGCTAAGGAGGTCTTCAGCAATGCAATGGCTTTCTGCACTGAATTAATCCTGACCTGGGTATTTGGACCTCACAAAATCCTGCCTGCTTCATGCTCCCACCTGAATTATTCCAATTTGTTTATGAGAAGGAGATGCTGAACACAGAGGAAAGCCAGCTCAGATATCAAACTCTGGATGTGGGCAGCCCTGTTTTCATCACTACAGCATGATTTGAAGTCTCTAACACTTTTCCTCCTGGGTGTGAAATAAGCTTGATCTGGCCTGTTGGATGTCCATGGGTTGTGCCTTTCCCCACACCACGGGAAGATGCTGCTGAGGAAGGACCCATCTGGCTGCAATTCCACTTTGAAGGCTTTGCATAAACACTGCTATAAAAAGCAGTGACATGCAGATAAAGGAGCTAATGGCTTCATGTGGGGCCTGGGCAGTGTCCCTGCAGGCACATGCTCAGCCATGCAGGGCAGAGCACAGGACTGCATCTCAGAGTTAAGAACATAACTTGCAAGAAGAGGAGGTTTGGCCCTTTCCTGCTGTTTGGCCCTTTCCTGCTGCTGTGTGTAGACTTGCTTTATAGATAGTTACCCAAAAAATACTACAATGCAGGTTTGACCATGAATTTTGTGTTATTTAATGAGATTGCTCCTCAAACCTCCTTCTTGTCTAGCTCATGTAGCTTCAGGAATGGCTGAAGCCTCCTGAGAGCCCTGTGATGTCTTGCAGGACACTGGAAGTGGCATGGTTTGGGCTGAATGACTGACTGGCTTCTATTCCCTTGGGAGGGATTTGCTCCTTGTGAGCCCTGCAGTGCAGTGAGAGCTTGAGAGAGCTCCAGAGCCCATTCCTAGCACTGAGAGAGCTCCTGAGCACATTCCCAGCACTGGGAGAGCTCCAGAGCCCATTCCCAGCAGTGGGAGAGCTCCAGAGCCCATTCCTAGCACTGAGAGAACTCCAGAGCCCATTCCCAGCCCCGAGAGAGCTCCAGAGCCCAATCCCAGCCCTGAGAGAGCTCCAGAGCCCATTCCCAGCAGTGGGAGAGCTCCAGAGCCCATTTCCAGCAGTGGGAGAGCTCCAGAGCCCATTCCCAGCAGTGAGTGAACCCCAGAGCCTGCTCCCAGCAGTGAGTGAACCCCAGAGCCCATTCCCACCAGTGAGTGAACCCCAGAGCCTGCTCCAAGCAGTAGGTGAATCCCAGAGCCTGCTCCCAGCAGTGAGTGACCCCCAGAGCCTGCTCCCAGCAGTGAGTGAACCCCAGAGCCTGCTCCCAGCTGCGGGGTCGGGCAGAGGAGCCGTGCCCCAGGGGGCTCTGCCGAGGGGCACTGCTGCCACTCGGTGTCAGCTCTGATCTGTGTCACAGGCATCACTCGGAGCAGCAGAGCTTCCTCTGGGACACTGCCACTCGTCCAACTCGGCAGGGCTGTTGTGTAAGAGGCTCTAAAATCTGTGTTTTGAGCTGCACGGAGTTTTCCAGAAGGAAAAGCACCAAGGCAGGTTTGCAGAGCTCCCCCATGAGATGGAGTCCTGCTCCCAGGGCTGTCCTTGCCTGCCCTTGCTGCTCTCCTGCTCCCTGGGCCAGGCCAGCTGAGGCCTGCCACGCTTGTCACAAACTGATTGTCACTTTGTCCCTATAAAAGGACATAATAATTATCATCTGCATTTTACAGATGGAGGAAGCAGTGCACAGAAGCAACTTGTCCAATGTCATTTAGGGCAGAGAGAGCAGATCTGGAAGGCCAGCCCAGCTCCTGAGCCACTCCTCAGTCCCAGCCAGTGCTTGACTCTCCACACACCACAGTGACTCACCCAGCAAACTCATTCTTCTCCCATGAATGGTAAGAGCATCACAGCTCTACAGGGGATTATTTTTGTGTCTTTGCTGCTTAGGCTTTGGATTCAGAATGTAGCCAGGACCTGGAGGTGGTCAAGGGCTGCCCCACTTGGGCAGGATGCTCAGGAGGAGAGCGCTCTGCACTCCTGCACTGCTGCCTGTGCCGCAGAGAGCAGGCATTCTTTTTGTCCTTAGCTTTTCTTCCAGAGGCCTTGTGGATTCAGATTGTAGCCAGGACCTGGAGGTGATCAAGGGCTGCCCCACTCGGGCAGGATGCTCAGGAGGAGAGCACTCTGCACTGCCTGCACTGCTGCCTGTGCCGCAGAGAGCAGGCATTCTTTTTGTCCTTAGCTTTTCTTCCAGAGGCCTTCTCTGGGAATCAGATATTCATAAAAACACCAGCTTTCCTCACCTCTGTAACTGGGCCCTTGGGATCACAGGATGTGCTGGAGGCAAGATATCTAATTAGGAAACTGAGCAAGCTCTGGCCGCGAGTGGCGGTTTCAGACGCGGCGACGCTTTGGCGGCTTTTGGGAGCAAAGCTGCTGCTGCAACAGGTTCCTTGGGGCTTAAAGAGCTCCTGGAAGTGGCCATGGAAGGAGAAGCACAGCTGCTGTGTGGCAGAGGGAGCTCCGTGTCCCAGAAGATTTTTAGCAAATAAGTTGCTTTTATAGGAAATAAAAAAATGAAAGTGTCCAGGGCACAGCTGCTTCCATAGTCTGGATGTCTCCTGTGGGCTGGGCAGTGTCTGGGACATGTCTGGGCTCCCCAGGCTGCACTGGTTTTGTGTTTGTCCTCGGGGGTGAGAGCAGCTCATGCTGCCAGCCTCAGGCCCAGGGGAAGCCTCTGCCCAGCCTGTGTCCCACTGTGGGACAGGCTGTGCCTGGAGCCACAGAGCCCATTTCTGTGCTGGGAGAACTGTCCTTTTCAGGAATTTCAAATTAATATATGGAAGAGCCAGACACAGGGATATTCTGGCAACCAGTGTGACAAGGAGCCTTGTCACACTGGTTGCCAGAATCTTTTAAGATTCTTCAGCCTCTTGAGCTCCACCATTGCAGGCCAGCGAGAAATGGCACCTGTCCCACCCCAGAGAGCCAGCCCAGGGACAGCTCCAGGGACAGCCTGGCTCAGCCAACCCTCAGCAGCCACCCACGGGCTCACTCACGTGGTCGATGAGCTCCTTGATCATGCCATTCCACTGGCCCTTCTCATCCTGTGCGCCGTATTTGCCGTCCTCCACCAGGCGGATCTCGTAGGAGAAGCCCAGGATGATGGCCAGCTCCTTCAGCAGGTCGATGCAGTAGCCCTCGAAGCGGTCATTCCCAAACAGGGCGGTGTCGGATTTACGGAACATGACAAAGGGCTCCTCCTGCACAGGGAAAGCAAAAAGTCCCAGTTCAGGGTCAGCTGGAGGCAAGGCCACCTCTGCAGGTCAGCCCGAGCCGCCAGGCACGGCTCTCCAGGCAGGGCTGGCACTGTGACATGTTGGGAATAAATTAACTTTGCACAGCGCATCAGCTAATTAGCAACCTTGTTTACCCCACAAAATTTAATTTTGTCTCTTCTGAGCAGCCAACTGTTTTCCATTTGGTAGGATTTCAGGGAGAAAAATAACCATTTCATGCTCTGAAAATGAAGTGTTAGAAACAGCAAAAGAGGGAGAAGACAAACTCAGCCCCATGCCCTGCACACGGTACCTGCCATCCACCACAGGCTGCTGGGTGAAATTTGGGGTGAAGGAGCTGTGCATGGCTGGGGCCACCCCAAAACCTCCCCACTCACCTCACTGGCACTCCTCTGTGCTGGCACTGCCTGGTGGACACTGCCCTGCTGCTGCCCAGGGAAACTTTGTGCTGTGTGCTGCACTTCTGGCTGCCTGGGAGTGACCCATAGCTGAGCTCCAGCACAGGGGACAGGAGCTAAAGCAGTGACCTGTGGATCCCTCCCCTCGAGCAGGAGCTGGCAGGTGAAGTCACCCAGAGAAGTCCAGCATCCTTTGGTGCCTCTCAGGCTTGGGCAGCCACCGAGGAACACTGGGGAGCCTGAGGGAAAAACGTGTGGAGGACAGATGGAAATGGAAAAGGGGGTGGGCAGCAGGCAAGAGCTGGAAGACAAGATGAGGGTGAGGTACCTCCAGCGAGTCCCTGGCTCAAACTGGGGGTGTCTGCAGGGCTTCTGTCCTTGCTGTGGGGTGGCCAGAGAGGGAGGGTGAAGGAGGGCTACACATTGTGCTGGCAAACACCCTCTGTGATTTTGTCCAGGCATGGGGGCCTTGAAGAGGTGGGAGGGCAGGTCTGGAGCCCTCATTAGAGCCCATTAGAGTCGCAGTGCCTGGCTTGGTGGGGCATGGATGCCCTGCCCAGGGGTGCTGTGAGGAGGGGTCTCAGCTGGTGCTGTCTCTGCCCACCTGGCAGCCCCCAGCTCTGCCCTGCCACGGGGCTCTGTGCTCCCACGGAGGGGCAGGGGGTGCTCCTTTGGCCCAGCAGCAGGGTCAGGAGGGGACGTGGCAGCACACGAAGCCCCATTTGCAGAGTTCTAAAGCCCAGCTGATCACATCACGCCCATGGAGTTTGGCTTGGCACGCGCAGCTCGGCTCAATCCTGCGCTCCCCCGCCGCCTCCTCGGCGTTCTGCTCTGGAATTAGTGCTTTGTTTGTGAATCAGCTGAATCTATGGATCTGGATATAAATATGCTGGCTCCAGAGCAGCCATAAAGCACTATTAATTTTGGGAAGCGCTGTAGGGATTACATACATATTTAACAGCCGAAGCACTGAACATTAGGACGCCACTCGCTTCAGTAATGTATCTCCAGGTCTCAAACATTTCCTAGGGGGTAATTCTGAACTCTGTGAACCACTTATTCACGGACTATTTCACAATTTATTACTGAAAATAGCCAGACATCCAATTCACAAGCTCTCTCAGTTTGCTAATCGATTTCTCAGTGAAGGTGCCCTCAATTTCATAACTTCACAGTTCCCATATTGCTTGGGGAGAGCGGCACTGGCTGCTGGGGTAATATTTCTCTTCCAACAAGTCACTGCAATATGAGCAAAAGGGGAAAAAATAGCCTTTCATGCTTTTTCTTTTAAAGGCTCCTCCTATGGCTCTTCTCTCGTCATTTACAGCAGTGCAGAACTACAAAGGGGTGTTGCAAATGCAAATAACATCCAGGGTTCTATTTTGCGTTTCAGACTCCAGCAAACGCAGTGCCATCACTGCAGAACTCAGGTCTGAGCACATTCCCTCCTCCCCTGGGCACAGGGATCCAGGACAGCCCTGGTTCCAAGGTGGAAAGCCCGTGGCACGTGTGCAGGCCCATGGAGTGGCACAATTAATGGGAACTGATATCACCCCATGCCTTATGTAATTTGTACGTGCTCGCAGAGCTGGAGATGGAAATGCTGCCTGAGAAAAGCCTGTCAAAGGCAGATGGCTGACAGTCCCCTCCTGGCTCCATCGTTTTGCATTATGCTGTGGCCTTTGAGGTATGGTGGGGACCATGGCCTGGACCCAGACAGTTCCACAGCCATGGAAATGTTTAACGGGAAAAATGTCGTGTGGTGGATGGGAAGTTCATTAGGAGGAGTGGCTGATTTGCAAGGAAAGCTCCTGCAGCATCTGTCTTTGGCTTATGTTCAGCTTCCCCCCTGCTAACCCCTTGCTGAGGGATACAAGACCTTTGGTTCCAGCCCCTCTGTCCCAGACCAAGTGTCCCCTGTCTCTGTTCCCCTCTGGGCACCTTGATCCCATTCCTTTTATACAAATCCACCCTATATCCAGTCCCATCCTTTTAAAAGGCACTGGGGTGCTGTGAGCTTTCAGAGACATTGGAGATCCCTGGGACATCCCTGGGGTTCATGGGGAAGGACAGTGACAGTTTGAGAGTCCCCTACCAGCACCGTGGTGACAATCAGAGATCTGTTGCTCAGCGAGTCCGTGACATTGGGTCCTCTTCCTTTGGAGATTTCTGTGATGTTCAAACCATCTGAAGGGCTCCATGCTCCAACCTGAAAGGAAGCAAAGCAACACAGAGATCCCCCATCTCCAATTCCTCAATCCCCACCTGCATTCCTTAATCCCTACCTTGAATTCCTCACAGCATCCTACTGGCCTGGAAAAGAGAACTTTCTTCTTTTGTCTGCAGCAAAACTGGAATTACCATAAATTAACCCTTCAGCTGCAGGTCAGTCCATGTTCCACATGTGGCACATGTTCCACAGCCCCTGTGCTGCTGCAGTGGATGAAGACTGTGGAATTTAGGGGCTGAATGAATTAATTTGCAGAGGCAGGGCATAGAGCAGCAATCAAACCACACTAAAGAGTCAAATCTGGGCAAGGATAAAGCACAACAAAAGAAAAATAACCACAAATCTGAGTCAATTTTCTTTCTTTTCCATTTCCCCACCAATTTGCTTTGGTGGGAAGGATTAAAAATGGCTCGACCAGCTCTGCAGATCCCTGATAGGGACCATTTCTGCCGTGGAAAATCAGCTGCAGGTTTCTAACACATCTCTTGGCAGGGCCCTGGGCCCCCCTTTGGGAAATCCCTGCAATGGGGGAGTCTCAATCCTGGCTGCAAACCTGGAGGAGGGGGTGGCACAGGCACATCAGCTCTATTTCGGGTGCTCTGTTTTCTCAAGCTGTCAAATGTAATAAATTATTAGACTTCAATGAAGTCCATTGATCCAGAAATGGCAAAGCATGTCTCTGTTTAAGGAAGTCATCTGGGTGAGGCTAAGCCTGTTAACCTGATCTCCACAGTGCAGGGGAGGCTTTGGGACAAACTTTGAAGGCAGGAGTGGCTAAAGGACTGTGACAGCGAGATAAAATGTCAGGAAAGCTGGAGGAATGTGGGAGTGCTGCCAGCAAACGGAGCAGGGTGGCCACGGAGCCAGCCTGGCAGTGAGAAAAAAACAAACCCCACCTGGAAATGGGAACAGAATGATCCATCTGTAGGGTCAAACTGCAAGGTGGGACTCGGAGAGAAGCCAAAGGCAGCCAGCTCAATCCACCAGGGAGCCAGCAGCTTCCCATCTTTTATTTATTGCTGTTTTTAAGATTCTTCAGCCTTTTCAGCAGTCCAAGGGGAGAACTTGGTTTTACTGCATCCCCAAAAAGAGACTTTGTAATGAGCAATGCTGCCTGGCAAAAAAAATTGTCATAAATTCTAGAAGAGTTTCCATGAACTTTGTGAAAGGTTTTAAATATTTCAGGTAAAACTGAAGCGATCCCCCATCTCTGCCTTGGATCACAAAACAGCTGCAATGTCAAAAATTATTATTATTGTGAATGGGAAAAAAGCAAGTCTGAGAGGCCCCAGTTTGCTGCACTGCAGCCCCAATCACTTCTGCCTTGCTACGTTTTCTTTAAGAAAATTAAATGCATGGCACTTAAGGCTGAATTAATCAGTTTAAAATATTAAAAAAGGAAGAAAAAGGAAAAAGTGCTTTAAGAGAACTGTGTGAGTCAGATAGTCAAACTATATGTAATTAGGATTTGGTAATACTCCTGTAATCCCTGGAACATCCAGGAGGTATGAGGATCAGGGGTTCAATCCTAAAGCTCAACAAACATAAGCTGTGATACATAAAGCATAATCCAGCTGGGATTTGTTTGTAGTTTGGTGTTTTGTTAGTTCAGATTAACTATTGACAGAATTCTGGCTTCAACAGAGATTTGACATCGATACTTTAAAACCCCTCTGGAGCTGACACGAAGCTTTCAGAAAAATAATGGTGGGAACTGTGAAATCTCTGAATTATTGGAGACAAAAGTTGATGGGGTGTGCAGGGGACACGTCGAGGTTTGGCAGCTTCCAGCGTGCCTGATGTGACAGAGAACTGCAATAACTCCAGCTGGTGCCAGCTCTGCTCAGCCCACCTGAGGGGTGTTGGTTTGACAGGTGATTCTGTGGCTGTGCTTAAACACTTGGGTTCATGTGGTACAAAAGGCTGGTATGTTTTCTATTATCTGCCCAACACAGCTCTCCAGCAGCGCGTCGGTGCTGCTGGACTTCAAAAAGATGTGTTGTTATTTTTGGTTAGGCTCTATAAACAAAGTATTTTGCAAAAAAAAAAAAAAAAAAAAAAAAAAAAAAAGGCTACAAAGGTCAGCTGCTGCTCAGTTCTTGTGAGGCACCGGCACCTTCCCCAGCTCTGTCCTGCCTCCTTTCTCAGCCAGCGAGACTGAAGGTCACTGGGTTGATTTGAAACGTTTCCTTTATTCCAAATTTGACACCAAAAGCTCCCCAGCAGGAGAGGGCTGTGGTGACCTTGAGCTGTGTCACCTGAGGCACCGAGCTGCTGCTGTGGTGGGGAAGTGTGGCAGCCATTCATTTCAAATCCCAGGAATACCAACCAGTGAGGAAGGGGGATGTGGCACGGGAGCCTCCCAGTGCAGGATCCCTCCCCTCCAAACAGAGGATGGATCCAGGGCTGCGTCCCTGTGCCCAGTGATTAATTCCCTGGACAAGTCCCCTGTGCTCTCAGGCCATGCACAGGTAACTGAAATCCCTCCCTGCTGCCAGCCAGGTGTTCCGTGGGCTCAGAACCTGTCCCCTGCCCAGAGGGACAGAACCAATGTGTTCAGAACCTGTCCCCTGCCCAGAGGGACAGAGCCAACAGGCTCAGAACCTGTCCCCTGCCCAGAGGGACAGAGCCAACAGGCTCAGAACCTGTCCCCTGCCCTGAGGGACAGAGCCAGCCCCGTGCCCAGCTGCCACAGGCACCTGGTAGCTGTCGGAAAGCAGACTCTGCTCTAGAAATGGCCTTGATGCCCTGCCAAATTCCTCCTGTACAGGTGATAGACACCTGTAGCAGGACAGGGACACAGAGCTGCTCACAGGGTAGTCACAAACATGGAATTTCTTGGAAATCACAGCTGCCTGTGCTCCAGCCACTTACTGCACTGTTTGTCATCAGATGATCTCACCTTGAAACCTGCATTCTAAGGGCTTTAAGGCTGTGTGTGTTGCCTTTTTATTTTAAGTTTGTTTTTTTTTAAGTAATTGAAGAGAAGGAAATTAAGTCCCCAGGCACACCTGGGATCAGATTTGCACATCAGCATGGTTTTACTGTGCCCAGAGGAGATCTGCACTAATTTGGAGGACCTAAGGCTTCAGTCTTTATGCTCTTGACCCTCATGACACCCCCAGCCAGGCAGCAAGGCCACACTTCCCTTTTTTCCTCATCGTCCCTTAGATAATAAACAAAATACCCAGTGCTTCGTCCTGCAAATTCCAGGCTGTAATAAACTGGGGCTGTTCCCAGCCTTGGGCAATTTTATAGTGGGAAATGAGTCCAGATGATGATCTCCACTGCTGTGGTCTCCTCAGAGAATAACTGAGGGTTTGTGAGCCAGGCCAGCAAGAGGGAGTGGGACAGGTGTCATTCCTGCCTGCTTAGGGCAGGGAGGGGTTAATGGATACTCAGAAAGTTTCTTTTTCCTCCACTATCCCAGGAAAGTGCCACAAGCACTTCTGCAATCTGTAATCCCACGCACTGGCTTCAGGGCGAGTGAGTCATGGTTGAGCATGGAAAAGGATCTGAGAAATCCCACAAAGTGAATATCCTTTTATATAAACCCCAGGAACCTGGAATCAATACAGCACCAACCATTCCTCTGTTGCTGAGCACCAGCGTTATCCTCAGCCACATGCAGATGAAACCAACCCTGCCTACCTTTTCAAGGCCATCTTCTTTGAGACTGATGATATCCAAATCAAAATCTGTCCGTAAACCACTGGTTTTATTAAAGACAATGCGTCCCGTTAATCCTTCCCATTGGGCCTGTGGAAGGGAGAAAAAGTAGCAGGGCTGTTACTCAGTATCATAAATAATCTTTTGCCCTCCACTGTATGTTCTTTTAATTAGTCCTTATGCTGGTTCTTTCTCCCTAAAGAGCCTGATTAATTAATAATCCCTCCGCTGCTGCTCAGACTGCAGACGGAGCTGGAGATTTCCTTCACTCTCTTGCAGTCCTTGCTACAATTTCTGTTTGCACCTTTTGTGCTCACCAGCTGTTGCAGGACGTGATGACTCAGTAGAAAACAACTTGCATTTATCACGGCATCCTTGTGGGCTGCGTTCATCCTTGTAGTGCTGATAAACACCGGCTGCAGGGAGCCTTTCTCCAGCCAAGAGAAATCCCTTTGTGCACCAACTCGTTGGTGCTTCCAAGGTGTGTGGAAGCTTAAATGTTGGGAATGCTTCCCTCTGTCCTTCCAGAGGGAGAGTGGAGTAGAAGAGGCCAAGAATGAGTTCATGCAAGTAAGATCTGAGGTTTGGAAACAGGCACAGGAATCTGGGGCCACGTGCTGCTGGTGCCCTGCTTCAGTTTTTGGCAGCATAAAGATGGGGAAGGTGCTCACTGGGACTGGGGACATCCCATTCCCAGAGATTTTTCAGTGCTTGGCTGACTGAGATCCTAGACAGCCTGGTCTGACAGGGGTGAGGAGCAGGAGCTTGGGGTAAAGATGCCTCTATTCAATTCCACAAAAAAAAACCCCCATGTAATTTGATTTCTTTCCCACTGTTCATTTTGCAGCACCCCTGAAATGAATGCCTCTGATTTAGGAGGTGATAGAACCCCCAGTGCCAGCTGCTCTGTGCCAGCAGAGCAGGAGCTGGGGGACAGCAAGCTGTCCAATGCCTGGGGACAGTGCTGGATGTGCTGTGGCATTGTCCTGAGGAGGATGTTCCTGCAGGAATGCCAGGCTGCTGCTCAGCATCACATCCCAGCAGTGGGGAGCTGGGCCTGGGGATCTCTCTCCTGAGCAGCCCCACTGGGAAACATGTTTCCTTTATGGGTGGGGGAGCTTGAAATATCCCATTGTGATCAAGGTGGCATAATGTATTCCCAGGGGGAATAACTGGTGTTCCTCCCAATAAACACGCTCCTCTGGCTCCCCCTCATTAATTCCTGAGGAGCAGTGACAGCCTGCTCCCAGCCCTGCCACCCTGGAGTCCTGGGGAGGCTTGTGTTTGCTCATTTGGGCGTGCAGGTGGTTTGCCTGTGGGACTTGCAGCCCTCGGAGCCCCCCGGGAGCCGGGGAAAACACGGAATGTTTGTCGTGCCCAGCTGGAGCAAACACAGCTGCGTGCTGAGCCCTGCAGCTCCCGCGGGGCTGCGGCGCTGCTGATGCCTTTTTGGGCTACCTGAAAACAGAGGCAAGGCAACATTAAGAGAATAAAAAGGGTTATATTTGTGGAAGGGTCTTCAGGTACATTTTGGGCGGACAAAACCCCCTCCACAAGGGGCTACACCCAAAAAATGGATATCCAATGGGTTTTCACACTTTTATAAGTTTGGTCCATTTGCGTATTGGGGGTTCATCTTCCAATTATAGCTTCAGGTAATAAAATAATTTTACCCCAAGTTTGCTCCCCCCAACTCACTTTTGTTTCCATCTCTCAGGGCCTGAGGCAGTGAGGTGTCCTTGATTGCCAGGCCTGGAGAGGAATTGTTGTATCTGCCCAAAATGGGAAAGAAGCAGCTCACACTTTGTGTGGAGTTTAGAGTTATACACTAAAGAACTAAGAAGGATTACAAATATATGGAGAATATAAAAGCTGAAATCCTGAGGCATTAGTAGGAGCACCGAGGGGCTGCACAGCTCCCAGTCCAGGGAGTTTTCTAACCCTGCACCTGCCAAGCCTCCACCCCCTCCTCCTCCTCCAGGGGAACGTTTATAGTCAAACAAAACCACGCTTTTACCTCTTTTATGAAGTTCATGAAGCGGCCGCCGAACCTCCAGGCCTTGTGGCGGTGGCACTGCAGGGAGTTGACGGTCATCTGGGGCGCGCGCTGGTAGCACACGGACACCACGTGCACCGCGTCGTACAACAGGGCAGCATCTGTCTAAAGGGAAGGGGACAGCGCTGGTGGCCGTGGCGGCTCGTAGGAAAAGGTGGAACCCGCTCTGAGCTACGCCCGCCAGCCCCAGGGTTTCTCTGTCTGTGTTCCTTGGTGGTTCCTTGGTTGTTTAGATCAAAGGCTCGGGGTTTTGTCTAAAATCAGCGATTCTGGAAGTGTCGTTTGTCTGTTCGGGTTGTTTCTTGCACATTTCCTGCTGTGGTGTCAAAGAGGGAGGCAACGGCTTCTAAATGTGGAAGGTAGTAACAGAGTTTTCTTATTGAGTCTGTTTTGTCTGAGTGTAAAAAAAAAACTGCACGAGAACATATTTTCTACACTATTTTATACATGGGAAAATAAGAAACAGAGATGTTTGTGGGCACACAGTTTTCCAAAAATGACACAAGCTGTCACCAAAATCAGGACCTCATGGCTTTGTAACATATTCTAGCATTTCAGTGATCTGAACTAGGGAGAACTTTTTTCCCCCATATAATGTGATAATTTTAGATTCAGTTTGGGATGCCCCATCTTACATTCAAACACTGATCAAGAGAATTGGATTTATTTTTCACTCTGATGTGGTAAGACCTCCTAGTGAAAATACATTATTTGCTGGCTTCACGGAGGCACGAAACAGATGTGAGTCTAGCAGCAGCGTAATAAACCACAATGAAACAAAATAATACAGCAAATAACTGAGCAAACATCTCACAGGACGTAGCCATGGAGAAAATCCTCCAGCCTTGGCAGCCATCCCTTTGACCTTCCCTTCTCTCAGCAACCAAGCATGAAGAGCAGGAGCCCCACCTGCATCCGTGGGCGGGTATGGACCACAGCAGGGACAGGTTTGTGAGTTTGGGGCTGGAGGAAAGGGGAGGCAGGGATATGTCCATGCAATTTCATGGTGAATTACAGACTGTAATGCCCAGCTGAGTCCAGGGCCCCAGTGGATAGACACCTGGCAAACAGAAATCAAAGGCAGGATCCCTCAGAGAGAGCAAAGAGGGGCAGCGTTGAGGACTGAGCTCTGCTGCAGGCAGAGGGGCTCAGCCCTGGGCAGCCTGGGGAGCAGGCAGGAGAGTGGGGGTCTCTTCCCTAACAACAACCACAACAGCAGGGATCTGAGGAGCCCTTTCAAGGTGAAAGTCTGGGAGGCTTTGCCACTTCGGCTCTGGGAAGGAGGGAGCCAGTCAGCAGTTCCGGGGGTCGGAGACAGCCTGGCAGGGAAGGCAGATGGGCGAGCAGGTGCTGTACCTTCTGAGCAGTAACTCAGCAGAGCAGAGCTGCCATCAGACCCTAAAAGGAGTCATCCAAGCTGCAGCTCAGCCCATCTCTGGCCACTGCTTGGTGCTTTCCCCTGTCTCAATCTCTACAAAGCGCCTGGCCCAGCCTGGCCATGTGCTGTGCTCCCAGCCCTGGGAGCTGGTGTCCCTCTGCTCTCGGGGGTGAGGCTTTGCCACTTTGGCTCTGGCAGATCTAAAGAGAGGGGGAAGGAGGGAGCCAGTCAGCAGTTCCGGGGGTCGGAGACAGCCTGGCAGGGAAGGCAGATGGGCGAGCAGGTGCTGTACCTTCTGAGCAGTAACTCAGCAGAGCAGAGCTGCCATCAGACCCTAAAAGGAGTCATCCAAGCTGCAGCTCAGCCCATCTCTGGCCACTGCTTGGTGCTTTCCCCTGTCTCAATCTCTACAAAGCGCCTGGCCCAGCCTGGCCATGTGCTGTGCTCCCAGCCCTGGGAGCTGGTGTCCCTCTGCTCTCGGGGGCAGCTGGAGTTCTCTGGGACATGTCCTGGCTACCTGCCTTGTCTGGTGGCAATCTGTTGGCAGCTGGACCTGAGCAGGAGCGTTACCACAGCAGCAGGGTGTGGGCTTCACCCCAGACTTTGAGGGACAGTTGTTAAAGAATGCAAGAAAGCACCTCAGGACAGATACCTGGGATGAGATTTTACTGGTACAAAAACCAATAAAAGTAACATTTAGGCCTCAATTGTAACCACATTTCTCTTCACAGAGAAAAAGCAAGGCACAATTCTTCACAAGAATATTTCTGGGTTTCACATTCTCTGAACCTCAAAGAAAGGAAAAACAATTCTTATCTCATTTGCTGTGTCGGTGTTGTGCAAAAGTAGAATGCAAAATGGAGATTGTTTACCCAAAGTGATGGTGTTTTGTTTCCTTGCCCTATCAGGGCAAAGTGTGTGTGTGTGTGTGTGTGTGTCAGAACTGTCGGCTGACAGTCACGAGATTCAGTGCAGTTGTATGCAGAGTTGAGTGCTTGGCAGATTCAGTTTAGACATAATGTAATATAGAATATATTATATGTATAGAATATGTATAGAATAACATAGTATGAGACAGTAATTAATTAGCCTTCTGATAAGATGGAGTCAAATTTTCGTTGGGGGTGAAAATATCATTGATATTTGACTGTTCCTGCCTTCCTTAGCACCCTGCCCTGCTTCCCAGACCCCTGTGCCCTGTTTGAACTGCCCGTACCATCATCACACCATCCAGAAGCCCCAGCTCTGCCTTGGGCGCCGACTGCAGCCTCTCCATGGACCACTTCTCAATGATGGAGGACACGTGTGGGTTCTCCACGTTGAGGATCCGGAAGCCGGTCAGGTTCACCCCAGAGTAGCGGTATGGTTCTAGGTCTAATGCATAAAGATCCTTAAAAGAGAGAAACCGGGTTAAACATTTTGCTTAGCTCTGTTTTGTTTGAGTTTTCTGCGTCGGTTCGTGTCTGTGTTTGGAGCGAGACAGCAGAGCCCGCAGAAGGTGGGAGGGAGAACAGATCCCTCGGGAATTCAGAGGATTGTGCTGCCTGCTGCCGTCAGTGGTGCTCGCAGAGGGCTGTAGGTGTTGGTGGAATCTGGGTGCCGTATGTGCAGGTTCCCCCACACGCAGCAGAAGGGAACTCCTACCAAAGAGCCAAAGAACCTGGTCTCAGCATGAAAGAGAGTGGATTGTGGGGAGGAAAACAGAATCACTGCCTGTGACCCTGGAAAAAGAGACTGTGACCCAGGGAGGGGAGACAAGGCAGAGTTTCTGTATCTGGAGCTCCCACGGGCCTTTCCAGGGAGGATTTGCTGGCAGTGCTGAGGCCCACAGGGTGCTGCGGATGACAGAGTCACTCTGAATGCAAAACACCAATTTGCAGACTATCAAAGAGGAACTAAGACGCATTTCTTGACATTCTGACCAGCCTACACAGTCTGCAGATGAATGAGGGTGCCCTTTATACGATGTGAAAACCAGAGCCAGGCAGTGCTCAGCTCTGCTGGCTGCCAGCCTGAGAGCACTGCTTGGCAGGCAGTGAGGGGCACTGGGGCTACTGGGGGGCACTGGGGAGCACTGCTGTGCTGCAGCTCTTGGCTCTCCGCGTGTCTGAACACCAGCTTCAGTGCTCAGCAACGAGTTTGGGGTTAGACAGCACGCCAGGAGCATGTGGCAGCTGATCTGCTCCCCAGAGCCCAGCAGCTCACCCAAGGGGGGAGTGAGGGAGTGGTGAGATGGCAGTCAGGGTGAACCGTTTGTTGGGTGGGACATATTTCATTGGTGTTTATCCTGGACGACTTCTGCAAGGGTTTCATGGCAGTTTAAATGTGGGGAGGCGGAAAGGCAACACCGCGAGTCTGCAATGGAGTGTGGGGGTGAATATGTGACATTCCCTGCTCTCACAGGCCGGAATATGTGACATTCCCTGCTCTCACAGGCAGGAATATGTGACATTCCCTGCTCTCACAGGCCGGAATATGTGACATTCCCTGCTCTCACAGGCAGGAATATGTGACATTCCCTGCTCTCACAAGGGCTTCTCAAAAAGAGCTTCAATATGGGATGAGCTGCTGTGGCTGGGGCTGTGCTGCGGTTATTCTGTGCTGTGTGCTGGGGCTGTGCTGGAGTTATTCTGTGCTCTGTGCTGGGGCTGTTCTGTGCTGTGTGTTGGAGCTGTGCTGGGGCTGTTCTGTGCTGTGTGCTGGGGCTCTGCTGGGGTTATTCTGTGCTCTGTGCTGGAGCTGTTCTGTGCTGTGGCTGGGTTTGTGCTGGGGCTGTTCTGTGCTCTGTGCTGGGTTTGTGCTGGGGGTGTTCTGTGCTCTGTGCTGGGGATGTTCTGTGCTCTGTGCTGGGTTTGTGCTGGGGCTGTTCTGTGCTCTGTGCTGGGTTTGTGCTGGGGCTGTTCTATGCTCTGTGCTGGGTTTGTGCTGGGGCTGTTCTGTGCTCTGTGCTGGGTTTGTGCTGGGGCTGTTCTGTGCTCTGTGCTGTGTGCTGGGGCTGGCTGTTCTGTGCTCTGTGCTGGGGCTTTTCTGTGCTCTGTGCTGGGTTTGTGCTGGGGCTGTTCTATGCTCTGTGCTGGGTTTGTGCTGGGGCTGTTCTATGCTCTGTGCTGGGTTTGTGCTGGGGCTGTTCTATGCTCTGTGCTGGGTTTGTGCTGGGGCTGTTCT